TCTCCCCCTGCCCAGCTCCACTACCTGCGGCTGCCAAAGGACATCAGTGAGGACCACGTCATCCTGATGGACTGCACGGTCTCCACAGGAGCTGCAGCCATGATGGCCGTGCGGGTGCTGCTGGTATGGAGGGTATCGGGTGTGTGGGGACCAGAGGGGGGTTTTGCCCCAGGCAGTGTACAAAAGCCCTGCTGGGGGCCTTGCATTAACATTGAGCCTTCCAAAGGGGGGTGTTGAGAGTCGCAGCAAGACCTGGAGTGTCTCCAAGGCGTTGACAGAGCCCTTCCTAGGATAGTAACAGCTTAGGTTTAGGTGGTTCATTGGTCTTACACCCACCAAACCCTACACCCAGGGACAAAAAGTGGTTCCAGGAAGGTCCTCAAGTGCTCCGAGTGCCAGACTATGGACCGTAACACAGCTCATCCCACACTCTGCCATTCCTGCAGGATCATGACGTCCCAGAAGACAAGATCTTCCTCCTCTCCCTGCTGATGGCAGAGATGGGTGTCCACTCAGTTGCCTACGCCTTCCCCCGGGTGAAGATCATCACCACAGCTGTAGACAAGAAAGTGAACGACCTCTTCCGGATCATCCCTGGCATTGGTGAGTACTTGAGGAGGAACGTTTGGTGTTTCTGGCCCGCTCAGCAGATGAGGTGAAGCCCTGGTTGTCAGCAGCTCAGCCTTGTTTTAGTCTGCCCTTGTTTTACTGAGGAACCCTTTGCCTCTCCCGGTAGAGAAGCTGGGCTGGGGCAGCTCTGTGCCTCATTCCCTGAGCTGCTGCCTGAAGGAAGCTTGTCCTCAACAAGCTCACTGCGTCCTTCCGTCCTCACCTCTGCTGTGCCAGGAACCACCCCTGCCACGGCAATGCTAAAACAGTCCCCAGTGTGCTAAAACAGCCTCCGGGCTGCTCCAGTTCTGCCGCTACACAAGCGCCAGCACCGTGCAAGCTGTCAGATAAACCTGGTTTTGTTTCCTCGCCTGCTGGGCCAGTCCAAGCTCTCCAGAGCTTTCTCTCTCCCTTCTCCTCCTAGGGAACTTCGGTGATCGGTACTTTGGGACGGATGCTCCTCCTGACTGGAGCGACGATGAGGATGCTCTCAGCACTTAGCTGGGTGGGAGATGCCACCAGCGCCAGGCAGCTTCGCACCGCACCTTAACCCCTCCTGTCCATTGCAGAGATTTCTCCTTTCTCCTCACCAAGCATATATTTTTTTCAAATCTTTCATCAGAGATCTAGGGCATATTTTTTCAAACACAGATCTTAGTGTGACTTTGTGGACAGCCGCGTGTCCCAGCATAGAGTGGAGTTAATTTATTTTAATTTAACTATTTGCCTATATAACTTATTGGAGATATTTTATAAAGAAAAGTAATAAATTTTTTTCTCTGGTTTTCTTGAACGGAGCCACTGCTTGTCATGGCCTTGTGCTGCCCCAAAGGAATCACAGGGTCATTATGGTTGGAAAAGACCTCTGACATCCCCAAGTCCAACCCCAGCTCACTCACTGCACACTGCCCACGACCCTCAGTGCCAATCTCCGCAGCTCTGGGACGCCTCCAGGCTCAGTGACCCCACCACCCCCTGTGCAGCTGTGCCACTGCATCACTGCTTTTTTGGAGAACAAATTGTTCCTAATATCCCACCTGAGTCATAACCCATTGGGATTGCCCTGCTCACTCTGAGCCCCCTGGGAGCTCCTGAGGGCAGAGAGGTGTTGTCACCTTCCTGCAAGGCAGGGTAACCCCTCCCCACCCCCCCCACCGACCCAGCTCTCCCTGCTGAACCTCATCAGGAGGAAAACCCACCACTCTTCCCCAGCTCCCTCCTCCTGCAGCCTCACGCTAGGGATGCAGTACTTCAATCCAGATCCCGCTGTATCCCTCCTTCCTGCAAGGAAGCTGAAGTTCAGCTTGGATCCTGCTGCACTCGAGGTCAAAAAGCACCAACTCTTCTTCCAGTTCTGCAGCCGGACTGAAGCACATCTCAGCACAGCCTGCTCTTGCTGCATCAGAGCTGTTGGAGGTGCAGGCCTGCAGGAAGCTGCCAGCGGCCAGAGAAACCTCAGTGGGAGGGAGAAAGCAGTCAGAGGAGGCTGTGCTGAGCACAGAGCGTTTTCCCTTTCCTGCACGATGCAAAGTACCGATGCCACATCCTTGTGCTGGCAGTAAACGGGCCGAGACGAGCCCACCCTGCACTGGGCAGCCCTGGATGGGAGAAGAAGAGGAGACGCTGTGCTCGGCCGCTGCCAAAACGGAGCCTCTGGGTGACAGCTTGGTGCGCGCTCGGCAGTGAGGAGCCCGAAATAACTGCCATTGCTCTGCAGCGCGTTGAGTAAACCTGCACTGCGTTTAAAAGAAAGCAGCTGCCCGAGTTCCTGCAAGCGCCCGGTGAAAGCACGACGCCCTCAGCTTGAAAGCCACGCTCCCAGCCAGCGCCGGCGCTTGATTAGTGCCTCTAAAAATAACTCCTCGCGTAGGTGGAAGGAGAGCTCATAAGCACAAACACAGGAGAGGCAGACGTGGGGCTTCGGGCTGGGGCAGCGTGCGGCCGGGAGCTGAGCATCACCGGGCATCGCCTGCTCCCAGAGTGCTGCCTACATACAGCCCAGCTCAGCCCCATGGAGGAATGCCCACCAGCCTGCACGTGTACGGCTCCTGCAGACCTCCTGAGCCCGATCTGCTCTCAGAGTCCACCCAAAGGGTGAAGGGCCCGCTGGGGAGCAATGCACTCCTTCCCTACTCAGCATCCTTCATTCCAACCCATGCACCCCGTTCCCTGGAGGCCTCATAGACGTGGCAGTTCCTGCTCCCTCAGAACAGCCCCCAGCAGGCAGCGTGTAGGGGACAGCCGTGGGGCTGCGAGAAGTGTGGGTGCAGCAGGGCTGTGAACTGCCACAGCAGCAAAGGGCGTCCGTCATCCGTGATCCCCTGCAAGCCTGATGGGCGCCACGACAGCTGTAGGACCCTCCATCACAGGAGTGGAGAACAACCTCGGGGAGAAGGGGGAGGCACCGCATCTCGTTTTGCAGCACGTCCAGGCTGCTGAGTGCCACCTACGCACCCATAGCCCCAGCACCCACAGCGCCAGCCCCCATAGCGCCAGCCCCCATAGTGCCAGCACCCATAGCCCCAGCCCCCATAGCTGCAGCACCCATAGCGCCAGCACCCATAGCCCTGGCACCCACAGCCCTGGCACCCATAGCCCCAGCCCCCATAGCTGCAGCACCCATAGCGCCAGCACCCATAGTGCCAGCACCCATAGCCCTAGCATCCAAAGCCCCAGCACCCACAACGCCAGCCCCCATAGCCCCAGCACCCATAGCCCTGGCACCATGGCAGCACAGCAGGGCACGGCGCAGCCCCATGGCTGCCATGTTGAGGGCCAAACACTCATAGCTGCCCCACAGGCACGGCCCAGGGCAACCGCAACAACCAGAGCTGCTGGAGACCTCTGCACTCTGGGTAGCTCCAGCTTTAACTGCACCACGACCATTTCCCTTTGCACGTCTGCATTTGTGCTCAGCAGACCAGTTTCCCCCACCAGACGCACATTTTCCCTTAGCAGATCCACGTTTTCCCCCACCAGACCCCTGTTTTCCCTCAGCACACCGCACACCAAATCCTCACATGTGGCCACCACAGTGCTGAATTCTACCTGCGGAACATGGCGCCTTTCCTCCTCCCCCTGCCCCACTGGCAGCAGAACTGTTAGATTTAGCAGCACGTGCCACAGCGGGTGGCCTTGGCCCATCCCTGCTGCCATCACCCCTGCCGCCGGCCAGCTGCAGGATGTGGTGCTACCTTGGGAGCCACCATCTTGGGAGCCGCCATCTTGGGAGGCCGCCATCTTGGGAGGCCGCCATCTCCCTCTCCCCACTCCGCCATTGCCATCACTTCAAGCTCAACTTTCTTCTGCGTGTGACAACTGCTGGTGGCAAACACACCACCTCGGAAACACCGTGTGGGTGGTGGGCGGCTCCTCCCCACCTCTGCCTTTCAGGCCGCCCGATGTGGCAGCCATGATGGCCGCTCGTGGGGCCAGGCGATGAAAACAAGAACGAAGCAACACTTTTTTTGGACAAGATATTTTTGCAGGTGCTCCTCGAGCTCTGATGGGCGAGAGGCAGCCTTAGTGTTAACCAGCGTGGCCACAGCCCTGCAGCACAGGGGATGCTCGGCAGAACAGCACCTTCAGAGCCCAATGGCCTCCATCGGATGCCCAGCGGTACCAAATAATGAGGAAAATAATCTCCATTTCTCTCAGTTCAACACTCAGACAACTCCATGCTCTCGGCTCTGCTACGTGCCGTTCGAAACGGCCAACGAACTGCGTTGCTGTCATACAATATTGGTGTATTGCCACCTCTTGCAGCCCCCAGCAGCGCCCCCCACCTCCAGCCCCCCCACAGCCCAGGGGCTTCCTGCCCTGCCTCAGGAGCAGCCCAAACCACAAACCCTGACCGACAGCAGAGCCTCTTCGGCACCATCCTCCCAGCACTGCAAATAGAACAGAGTGGGGAAAAAGAAAAGAAAAAGAAGAAAAAGAAAAAAACAACCTGAGAACAATATCTGCTTGACCATCAAAGAGCGAACGCACTCATTTCGAGGCAGAAGCGCCCGCGAGGAGAGCGTTTGGGTCGTGTTTTCTCTTTCTGCAGCAGATGGCCCTGGGTTTTTCTAAGAGATGAAACGTTTTGCTGCTGCCAGCCCCGGGCTGAGGCCCCTCCAGCACTGCCCGTTGGTGGGGCTCTCTCGGGTCAGAACAAACCACTCATTTCCCTTTCCAGCTCTCTGCCCATTGATTTCCCATCCGTGCAGAAAGAGGGCTTCGATTTGGGCATTTCTCCACCACTCATTCCAAAACTGAACAACTCATCGTGGGGGTTCCCATCTGACCTCAAGATCCAGCAGCACAGCAGAGCTCCAGTCAGGAACAGTTCTGTCCAATTGCCAAAAAAGAACCAAAAAAACAAAGCCTCAGTTTTTGTGTATTGCAAACAAGGACATTGGCAGCACACGGCCTGCAGCAGGGCTTGCATTGAAAGCATTCCTCTGCTCAAAGTGGTTTTTCGGCATCACAATGGCAGTGGAAAATGGGGTGCATGTGAGCACGGCAATCAGACAACGCATCTGAGACACTGTGCACACATGTGTTTACCTGTGATCAACACAAAGAGTGACTGGAAACTTCTCCAGTGACACCTTGCATTGAGCTCACAGCCCTCTGTCCTGTCTGCTCACCGCAGAGAAATTTATAACAAGCAAAGACACTTAAAATACATATACATACATACATACATATATTGCAAAAAACAGACAAAGAAATGCAAATTTTCCCCCCACTGTCCCCAATACTGAATAATTGCAAGAAGAGAAAGCGTGGTGGACAGCATCCACAATACAAGCCCTGAGCATTTGGGATCTCGCAGAGCTGCACCCTGGGGAGGTTCTCCCTGTTTTGTACGCCTTCAGCAGCGCCACAGCTTCCCAGTTCAGAGCGGGGTTCCCCCACCGGGCTGCAACCAGGAGCCTTGGATCTGCAGGGCACATGGCACCGCAGCCAAAATGTTGGGCATCAAAACGAGGAGAAAATGTTGAATCTGCAGTGTTCGTCCTCTGCTTCCCACCAACAGAAAGAAAACAAACTCAAACCAAATAAAAACCATGCAGATGCTCCACTCTGTCCGTTCCTTTCTTGTGCAAACAGTACAGGAAAGGAGGGCTGAGCAGCACCAGCAGGTCCCTACAGCAACCGTGTGGTTCCTGGGCAGCTCCAACACAAAGGAGAAAAAAACCCAAAGCCCCTGAAAAGTGAGACCTGGGGGTCAGGGCACGTGGGGAAGGAGCAGGGCACAGCTCGGGTGGGAGAGCAAGGGAGGAACTCTGCCTGGGGCAGAGCTGGGTGCAGCAGGATGGTCGCTGCCCATTGCAGAGGCAGCAGGATAAAGCCATGTGTCCCCAGTGCGGACGCAGAGCTGTGGCCTCGCAGGAGGAGCACAGTGCTTCACATCTGGGGACATTCCAGCATTGTCACAGCAGGTTTTCAACTCTTCCTTTTGTTTTCCATCCGCAGACTGTATGTTCTATGGCCAACATGGCTCTTCTTGGCCTGCCAAGGGGAAACCAGGAACAGCAGTAGATCGGATACCTTCCAGATCTGACAGCTGAAGGCTAAGAGGAGCAGGAGCCGTGCTGCACTCTGCTGCTGGCCTCGCTGGAGGATCTGACATGAGGTGGATGGATGAGGCTGACGGGGCCAACCACTGCCTCCATTCAGAGGGGCAGCAATTAGGAAACACAGCTTTTGGTGGCGGGGTTGGAAATAAGGGTCTTTCACTTACTGTGCCCCCAGGGCCGGGGGAAGAGGCACCCAGAGCATCCCTCCATCCCCCCCAGCTCCCCAGCGCAGCCGCTTTCGGGTGACTCAAGCGGTGTCGCACTGCATTGGGTTGGGTGGTTTTTTTTGTTGGTTTTTTTTTGTATTTTTTTTCACTTCTCTTTGCCGCCCTGCGTCTGTCCAGCGTGTAATGGAAATTTTACCACAGCCGCTCGCGATGCACAAACAGGAAGCCAGCAGAAAGTGTGGCAATTCGCTGTAGCCCGGCTTGACTCCTCCGAGCCACGAGGACAGGGAGGGCCATAAAAGCGGCGCGGGCGCAGCGGGCAGAGGGATGGAGCTGGAGCTGCAGGTGAGAGGTAAGGCAGCACTCCCCACTGCACAGCTGATCTCCCCCTCCTCTTAGAAGCTCTCCCCGCCTCTTTCTGCTGGGCTCCTTCTTGCAGAAGGGCAGGCTGGAAGGGCTCTGCTGCTCCTTCTTTGCTCTGCCCAACCTTCCCCCCATCCCAGCCTTGCTGCTACAGATTCCGTTTGGTTTCTCCTTCCCTGCGAAGCCTCAAAGTCCTAGAAGCTTGATCATGGATTTGAATTAGAGTAAACTGAGAGGATAAAGCTGTGGCTCTGCAGTCCCCTTCATTCCTGCCTGAAAGGTTTCTCTTCTATTGACCCCATTGCTCCACTGGAACAGCCTAGCTCTCATGCCTGGGGACGCACCTGGCTCTGTCCATGCCAGAGCACAGCAGATAGGACCCAAATGGAGCAAGAAATCCAGAAGGGATTGAAACCGATCGCTTATTCCTTGGTGCCTTTTCTGACAGCTTCCTGGGCCTGAACGGGCTTTGCATTAAGATTGACGGTGCTCAACTTGAAAAAGCCTTCCCTTTGATTATGCAGTTAATTGTCGAAGTTTTAATTTTCCTCCCTCCACGCATAAGGCAAATCACTCTGCCATGAGAGCCGCCTCCCCAGAGAAGCGATTTTAAGCACCCCATAGCATTAGGAAACTGAACTCCACCCGTTACCTGATGCAAATCTTGCAGGGCATCTCTGCAGATTTTGGGTGAGAGATTTTGGGCGAGCCTTGCAGAAGCGCTCTGATGCTCCCAGGGTGCCACCATCTGCAAACGGGAGCAAAGGAAGGGAATCTGCTGCTCCATCTCTGTCCCAACATCTCAGCTCACGGCCAGATGGGTATCTGTGGGTCCAAGCTGCTCTGTGCCTATTGGGGAGATGTTGGGTCCATGCAGCATGCAGCAGCCTGGCTGTTAACCCCGCATTCTGGCTGTGCAAAGGTTTTCACCACCACTGCTTGCACGAGGAAGCATGGCGTGCATTTGGGAAGGGGCCGACCCTTCAAGAACCTCATGGTCAGGCACGGATGCAGAGAAGCTGAGGCACAGCAGAGCTGAGGGGCCACGTCTCTGCTTTCTCTTGCACAGTCCCTGCAGATGGGGGATCTGGGTGGGTGCGAGACACAGGATGCGGGGCACGGGGCGGTGGCTGCCCGAGCGAGGGGCACCTCGAGGACTGTCTAACCTGAGAATGGTGAAACATGAGGGTCAATCTCAGGTTCGTCAGCCCATGAGATGCCTTCTCCAGAGCGGGATGGGCAGCGCCGTCCCCGCAGCCCCAGGGATGCAGGGAACATTGCTGCTGAAAAATGCATGAGCGCTGGCACGGCCGTTTGTGGGGTGGGGATGGGATGGGGAAAGAACCGAGCACGTACCAGGAACACACAGAGATAAGCAGCAGCATTCTTGGAGAGAAGCTTCTGGAAGCTTGGCTGCGCTTTAGCGCCGATGCTGCCACGGTCCACAGGGCTGGGGCTCCCACCTGCGGCTCTCTGCTCACGAGCCAAGAGGCTCAGAGTGCTCCCAGAGCCTCATTAGGAGCTGCTCTGCCTCTTCCCTGCTGCGAGGCCACGGCTGCACGGCGGCACGAGGCAACAAGCGGAGCTGGGGGTGAGCCTGGCATCCCTGAAGCATCGCTCCTGAGCGGAGGAAGAGACAGAGACATCCCTGTGAGTGACAATAATGAGTCCCCAGGCGGCACATGGGGCCCTTCAGCACTGAACGTGTCAGTAATTTATGATGGAAGACGAATTTTTGTTGTTTTTTTTTTTTAATATCTTCTCTTTTAATATCTTCCTAAATAAAACAAACAAGATGCCATTACCAGTTTCGTCATCTTTCCAACAATTAAGCAACGAATCCTAAAGCGTGGGGACTGAAAGAAAAAGGGTCCAAAGCATCACCAGCCCCAGTGCTGGCCGTGGGCTGTGGCGATGGATGAACCGAGCTGAGCACCGCGGCTGTGACGGTGCAGCACTCTGTGCCTGAGCCACTCCCCATCAGCTGGGGGGCAGAGCAGCCCCAAAACACCACTGCCCGATTCCTAGGGGCTCCTGGGGGTGCTCAGTGGCCATCAGATCAGGGAGATGCTCGGCAGCAGCCCTGGGGTGGTGCTTTGAGGCGCGAAACAGCTCTGTCTGCTCCCAGCCTTGCCTTGGTGCAAGCCTGGGTGGAGAACTGAACACTGCAGCCGTTCTCAATGATTCAATAAAGATATTTAAAGAACGCACCATGCACAAAGTGAGGGGGAAGCAGATGCTCCCCTTCCCTCCAGCCTTCTGGGGGTCATTGGGAGCCCCTTTATTGCAACCTCAAAGAATCCTTTGGCCTTTTGGGTGACCTGCCGAAAGCAGCCGAGCCCTCATTTTTGGGTAGCTCTGCACAGAGCGTGACTGAAGGGGTTCTCACTGCGCGCTCAAGTTCTACTTGATGTTTTTCTTTCCTTCTCTTGAAACATTGATACCTCATACAGGAATTTTAATTTTAGAGGCAGCACTTCTGCAAGATGAAGTGATTGCTGAGCTCCAAGTGCCTGCTGATGGAAGCTCCAGCAGGGAGGGAGGAAAAGGCAAACAAATGACTCCAACCTGCAGCCAGAGGTGCGTATCTGTGTGTAGCAACAAGGCCAGGAGGAGAACATCTTTTGTGCTCTATTAAAGAAGGAATATTGCACTCCAGAAGTGTATTTAAGCTTCAGAAGTAAAGTTGTAAGCTGCTCTCACGCAGTGACTCACCCTAAGGAGTTCGCTGCCTTCACTTTGCGCATGGAAACGCCCATGAAATGCAGAGCAGATGCAGCCCATGGACTGTTTTTGGGGGGGGGGGGGAGGCTGGTACAGGTCCGTGTCCAGGAGCACAGCGTGGGAGGGGGCTCAGCTGCAGTGCTCACACCTGGCACCCATTGATCTCTTCTCCAACCCCACGTACCCCCCATGGGCACTCAGCCTTCTTCCCCTCTCCCAGTCCTATGGACCCCACAAAAAAGTGCTCACCCTTCACACCTCCATACATCCCGAACAAATTCTCTCCAACACCTCCCACCCCGCAAGCCTCCGTTTGCATCTCACCACCAACCCCTGCACCCCCGTGTCCACAGGCACCCACCAACACCCCCACGCGTTCCCATGGGCATCTCCCCACCACCACCACCCCACGTCCCCCCATCCAGGCACTCACCCCTCCACCCTCACCTACCCCCAACGTTCCCATCCGGGCACTCCTATGTGCCTCCACCATCCCCCCCCTCCCCACACGCCCCCAGGTGCCCCCTGTACACCCGCAGTCGTTCAGCACCACGGACAGCTCCCCGCCCGGTGTCACGTGAGGGGCCGCCGCCCCGCTATAGCGCGGTCACGTGGCGGGGTGGGTGGTGGGGGGGGGGGGGGGGCGCCGCCGCCCCTATATAGCGCGGAGCGGGCGGGCGGCGCGGGCAGCGGGAGCTGCAGGCGGAGCAGCGGCAGCGGTGAGCATCCCGCCAACCTCCCACCCAGCCCCGCTCCTGGGAAGGGGTCCTGAGTCCCCCTGGGGGATGTGGGGGTCCGGTTCCCGCTGGGGTTGGGGGGCGGAGGGCGGGGAGGGGCGTCCTGTGACGGGAGTGCCGTGAACGTGAAGCATGACCTACCTCTGAAACGTGAGGGTCCCGTGTCTGGGTAGTGGGGTCCCGCATGTGCTGGGGGGGGGTCCCGTCCAGTGATCACGGCTGTCCCGTTCCCGGAGGACGGGTCGCGTTAGCGGGGGTTCGGTTCCAGTTCCTGGGGAAGGATCCCGCCTGCAGGTGGGGGGCTCTCACTCTTGGGGGCGGGGGGTCCCCCCGGCGGAGCTCATCCCGTCGGGTGCCCCCTGACCGCAGCGTTGGGGGGGATGCGGGGGGTTTGGGGGCTGCGGGGACCTCTTTTACAGGTATCCGGTCCCCCAACCCCGGACCCGGAGCGGCTGCGATGAGGCTCAGGATGATTTCGGCTGCCTCCGTCCTCGTGCTGCTCTTCCTGCCTTCGGAAAGCTGCTCCCCGCTGCAGCCCCGCTGGGAGCCGGCCGCCCCGCGCCCCCCCCACGGACTGTGCCGACCGCGGGGGGCAGCGCCCGGCCCGGACCCCCCCCGAACTCCGCGTGCGCTGCAGGCTGGGAAGAGACGAGAAGGGAAACCCAACTCTCTCGACCTCACCTTCCACCTTTTGCGCGAGTTTCTCGAGATGTCCCGGGAAGAGAGACTGGCGCAGAAGGCGCTCAGCAATAAGCTGCTGCTGCAGAGTATAGGGAAGTGACGGGAGGGGTCCCGACGGACGGAGGGGACGAAGCCCGGAGCAGCGAAGCGGGGACCCCCCCCCCCCCCCCCCCCCCCCCCGGAACCCCCCCCCCCCGCGCGGTGCTCCCGCTGCTGCTGCTGCGCATTAAAGTCTCCCTCGCACCTGCCCCGCTGCGCTGCTGCCCTGCGCTGTGGCGGCGTCGCCTTTCCGTGCGGGGCGGGGGGGGGGGAAGGCTTTCCCTGGGTCCCAAAACACCCGGGCGTGCGCGGGGGGCAAAGGCGATTCCCAGGGCAGGAGTGGGGAACGGGATGGGATGGAAGCATCTCACCCTATGCTGGGGACCGAGACCACCCCAGCTCCATGGTGCCAAGTGCTCTCTCAGACCCAAATTTTGGATGCCCACATGTGCTCCAATCTCGCTTCCTAGGGCGCCACTCACCCATTCGTGCTGCAGGAACGTGAGGTGTGCGTGTGCGGGTGGGTGCCACTGCACAATCCCTGTGCGTGGGTCCAGCAGCAGAGCTTGCAAATTTCACCCAAAAAATGGAAGTGTTCCCACTGGGCGGTGCTGGGGATGGGGAAAGGGACATGGGGGGCTCAGGGGGACTGCAGTAGGCATCCATGGGACAGGGGGATCTGAAACGTGGACACACGGACCCAGCTCCAGCTGCTGAAAGGGCTGCGGGCACCACTGAGCCCCCAGCATTGCGCTCTCACTGATCTCAAAGCAGTTTCTGCCTCTTGGGGTCACAGACATGGAGAGGGGGGGATGATCCGGGGTTTGGGGCGCATCAGAATGGGGCTGAGCACCTGAACCCTGCACCAAGGTGGGGTTTTGCATGGGAACAGGTGGGATCTCTGGGAGACAACGAGGGAGGGGTGCTTGGGGATGAGGGCAGAAATGAAAAGCTCAGGTGATGAGCTGTGAGGAACACACAGGTAACAGCTCAACCCATCCTTACCGCAAAGCAGCCAAAGCAGGGCTGCATGCAGCTGTGACTGCTCTGTGCCCACTGCTCCACACTGCATGGTGTTTCCCAGCCCACGGGGTCCATGGGAGCAGCAGGCCACAGCAGGCAGCCCTGCACAGCCCAGGGGTGGTGGGAGCCCGTCCTGCAGGAGGGCTGCTGCTCAGCACCGAGGTTTGTGCTGAACAGAGCTCTGAGCATCACACACAGCTGCAATAACGCACGGCTGCGACAGCTGCCCCAAAGCCATGAGCAAAGAGGCCAAATCACAAAGGGGAAACGGTCGACCCAAAAGAACCAGAGCTCCCCGATAGAAAACAATTTTAAACGCGCTCCCAGACCCCACGCTGCTGAGCTTCTGCTCCCCTCAGCCCCCAAACAACCCCAGCACTCACCCCCAGCTGCCTTTTGGAGGCTGGGTGGGTTCACTTCCACGGGGCTGGAGGGCAGGATGGGAAGGATGCGCTGTGGGATCCTTCCCCCATTCAGCACATTGTCCAGGGGCAGAGCTGCGGTCGCCCACTTTGAAACAGGAAATAAAGAAGCGATCCTCCAGAATCGGGCTGTCGGTTAAAAAAAGAACAGCAAACACATTAAAAAAAACCCAAAACCAAACCAAACCAAAACCAGCTACAGTTGCAAACAAGGTGTTTGCAGGAAGCACTCACCCGGAATGCACCAACAGCCCTTTGCTGCAGCACGCAGCGCTGGTAGCAGGGTGAGCACACGCACAGGGTGCACACAGTGCCCCACACAGCTCTGAACTCCCATCTCAGGAGCACAGAAATATCCCAGCAAACTTCACATAGGCAACTGAGCATCCATGCAACACCTACAGAGCAGCCTTCCTCCCATGCTGTCATCAATTCAGGATCCCAGATACAGAAAAGAACAAAGCCCACACGTAATTCTGCATTGAAAACATTTATTTTACAACAGTGGTTTCAGATAACTTAGCAATCTTTATTTTAGTTTCTATCTGGACATACGATACACAAATTACCATGCTAAAACATAAAATAATTCCTTCTGCTGTAACTGCAGGTATGTACAGGAGCTCAGTAGTATCCAGTGTTACAATCCACGAGGTTCCGACAGCCACATCTACTTACATACAATTCAAAGTATGGTCCTTTAGTAACATAACAAAATATATATATGTCTTTATTATAATTGCTTCTCAGATGCATTTATACTTTGTGGGGGGTTTTTTTGCAGTTTTTTTTTTTATTTTGTATTTTTTTTTACAGTCTTTTTTCCTTCGCTTTCGGCCACTGATTCCCCCCCCCACCCCACAAAAACCCCCCAAACCCCCCCCCCCCTGCACCCAGCTGTGCCTCTGCACAGATCACCACCTAGCTTCAGTTTTATGCTGTGCAACAGCTCCAAGTCCTTCAAATCCCACCTGTGAGCACTGCAGACTGAGCCCACAGACCACGCTGCGCCAACGCTCACGTCTCCATGCACCCCAACAAAGAGGGAAGGCTGCCAGGGTGGAAGGCTGCTTTTCCCTCTCCAAGCAGGCAGCTCTCCCATTTGTACCACCTGTTTATTTATACAACAGGAGCCTTCCATCGCTTCCCCCCATCAGTCACAGATCCCATCTGGTTTTCCCTGCAGCTGAAAGGTGGAAGCACAGCTCCGGACGCACAGAACCTGTCTGTCTGTGAGAAGGACTTGGGGCCAAATTCAGTGTTTTACCATCACAGAAAAACAGCAGCAAGGCCTGGGTGCACACCTGGTGTATAAACATGTACATATGTGCATATATACATACATACACACACGATGCTGCAATCCAAAACCTACAGCACAGCTTTGTGAGCCGACTCGCGCTCTGTGAGTACGACGCGCCGACAACTGGAAGAGGAAAGAACCCGGTGCAGTGACCTCCAGAGATGGATCTCAACCGCTTTCCAAACACCCCACACACCAGCAGCACGAGCCAAAGCTCTTCCAGTGTCGCCCCTGGGTTTCAGCTCCTTCCCTACAGCAAAGCCAGAACGGTGAAGCCCGGCTCCTGTCAAGCAGGCTGGGGCTGAGGGACGTTGGCAGAGCTCAGAGGTCGCCCCGTTTGGAAGCCATCGCTGTACAGCACGGTAAGCAACTGCTACAGACCACGAGAACACACCCACATTGCTGGTGATGGGGGAAAGAGAGCAGAGAAGACAACAGCACTCAAAGAAGAATGGCCATGTTATAGAAGAGCTTCCTCTACACATGTACACATACATAAAACCACCAGAAGTCGCCAGCGTCTATCCTTGAAACAAGGAAATCCACTGCTCATGTTAACGTTGGCATCTTATTTTCAAACACAAGTTTGTCTTCCAGATGTATGGCATTTGGCTTGTGCAAACATAAAAGACAGACAGCTTCCCCAGCAGTTCCCTCTGGCACAGAACACATCCTTCTGGAATGCAAGGAGCATTTCGGTCCCAGCACTGAAGCTCTGAGCACAACGCATGGAGCAGAACAGGTCCTGCAGGACTTGGGCACTGACAACTGCTGCTGTGTCAGCTAAGGGTTACACTTCTTCCAGGGCATTATAAGCAGCTGTTGGTGTAGCAGAACACCACTAGATGATTTCCACTACAATACAGAGAAGCAGCACCAAACAAGGAAGCAAGTTAAGCTTACACCAACCTTACACTGCACACAGTGGCACTGGGGTTACGTACCAGCGCTCAGATTCTAGGATTAATGCACAGAGACAGCATCTGGAATTAAGAACACGAGGCAGGGGCTGCCCAGTGCCACCAGTCCTGAACCTCCTGTTCAACATCACGTCCAGTTGCAGTGAGTGGGGAGAACCACAGCACCGACACGTCCTAAAGGAGCCCGAAATGTCAGTGACACCAAAGGGCACCGGAGAGACCGTGGGCACCAAGTACATGAGAACAGAGCAGCTCTCCTGGAGCCCAGTGCTCTGAGACACAGCCTGAAGAAGCACACGTGGGTCCCTCTACACCACAAGACTTTAAGAATGGGACAGGAATGTATTTTCTGCCAGGCTCCCACCTGTGGACACCCCCGGGTGCATTTATAGGCTCCGACACAGAGGGCTGGGAGAAGCCACCCATCCCACAGCACTGCTGCAGGGCAGCTGCTCACACCTCCTCCACACGGCTGCAGGCTGTGTGCAGCCCGGCCCTGCCCAGCATCACACATTACCAACACGATGAGCACTAATATCTAAAGCAGTTTAAAAATATTACAAATTTAAAAATAAGACTAAAAAGGGAACGTGGCTAGAAAACATCACTGCGTGGTATCAGCAGAAATCTACACCGGATCGGACGCCACTGAGGTTCACTTCAGTTTATATACAGATAAATAATTCAGAATATCCTACATACGTCACTAACTCAATGAAACTGGCATCTAATGCCCTTTGTTTGCTTCAAGTGAGAGTGCAGCTGGGCATCCCCAGCCAGAGCAGCAGCTCCCTCTCCTCCTGGGCCCTGCAGCCTTGCAGAGGGGCTCCTGGGGGCCGTCCTGCACGAGGAGGAGCCGCAGGGCAGTGCCAGGAAAAGTGCTGCCAAGTGGTTCTGTGCACTGGGAGGAGGTTGGGCTGCTGACACGGAGGTCTCAGGCAACTCATAAAACAAAACAAACGACCAACTAACAGGAATGCGACCTACAACAACAACAGAAATCGAAGCTCAAGTTTTAATTCTGGCAACAGGCTGAGCAGAGAGTGGCAGCGCTCAGGTGGAGCTTTGGAAGGAACCACCCTGTGTCCGAGCAGTGAGCAGGGCTTGGTGCCCGCCAGGCTCTGCTGCTTTGCATCTGGTAGCTCCACCAGCCCACACCCCGAGCCACACCACATTTGTTCACCATTATTTCCAGCACAACTTTGTCTTCACTGGGATTAACTTTTGGCCATTTTGAAGTGCAACTCACGTTAGAGCCCAGGATGCTCTTATATCTTATCTACAGCAACACAACCAAGCAGGCATTCACCCATCCCTTATACAGCTCAGGAAGAAGTGCATTAATAACTTTAAACTCAGAGGGTAACGTGGGCAAACAAACCATTCCAAAGAAATCACTTACAAATGTGTTTTCTCCTCATTCCCCTGCGCAGCTCCCCTTGGAGCACCCAGCACATCATGCTGGCACTAACAGGACAGGCCTCACTTGCCGTTCACACACCACCCACAGAACAGCTGAAAGGAAGGCAGCAGCTCTTACAGAACTCCAACAGCCCCTTATCCTGGGTATCACCTTTGTCAAGCAGTGCAAAACACGGACAAAGGTGTCACCTCAGCCTCCACACGGCAGCTCTGCTGTCAGCAGTCCCACACGGCTGGTCCGTGCTGCACAGCTGGATGGACACAGGGAGCATTACACAGCACGCAGGGTTAACTTCCTCCTGCTCTTTCCACCCACCCAACCTCACCAACACGCTCATTTACACGGCCTCAAAGCACTACCAGCTCCGTTACCAACAACATGAAGTGACCCACGCAGCCTCTAAGGGCAATTTTAGCCAGCCAGCTCTGAGGGAGGAAGCCTGCAGATGGCTGTGCAGCTCAACATCGAGATGTGGCGCCAGGCAAAGCCTACAAGGACAGCCAGCGTGATGCTATTCAAGCTTTAAAACTGCTTTCCTTTTTAAGGGGTCAAACAAAAGCTTTAATTAAATAATGACCTCAAGCCAAATAATGCACTGCTGTCCTCAAGGCCACCCAAGAGAGAGATTCTGAGTTAGAAGCATCTTCCAGTAATCCACAGCATTTCAGGACAGAAGGACTACCAGCAAGGAAGGAATCACTAACAAGTGTGCTGCTTCAATCTAGTCAGTAAATCAGGAGTGTTTGGAATCTTTGGAACCTGACGTGGCACCAAAAGCATCCCTTATCTGCAGCAGGCTGACAGGCAGGCAATAAATGTGCTGGTACCCAAGCACACACCTCACAGTGCTCATGTGCCTTCGTGTCACACTTGCTGTGCCCTGCCATGTGCAGCTCATGCAGAGTTGGAATGAAAATCTGTTCAGGATGGTTTTCTGGCAGCAGATCCCCCCCTCGTTTCCTGGCTGCTTCCTACAGACTGACAGAGCTCTTTGCCCCCCTTCCCAAGTAACACCTGTATCTTGTAAAAGAGCAGCATGAAAGACCTCAAATGAAACCTGGGATGGAAGGCTGTGAAAAGCCTCTCCACAGAGACAGGTGACCAACAGGGGAGGGGAGATGGAGGTACAAGGGACAGGAGAGGCATTGTGATAGAAAACAGATAGACGTGATCAAGGTAAGGAGAAGGCAATTAACTGCTAATCATGCCATGTGTAAGCTTACGAGTTGCTGTTCCAGATCCCGGCCCCGTATCATTCAAACCAAGGTTATTAATAACAAAATATGCCAGCAATTCAGCAGCTAAAATGCCTATTTAACAGTTAAATCCCAATGAACAGCTGTTTCAAAAGCAGTATTCAAACACAATTTGGCTTCAAAACAGCTCAGGAAACTTTTCAATCGTTTCCCCACCGTTGTTCTGAGGGAAAGAACACTGGTGTAAACAAGTCTAAAGGTAAGACAATGTGCAAATCATACAATAGCAACATAAAAAGTGTTTTGTTCTTAAAAAGCCATTTCAGTACTCCACAGAGACGCTCATGAGAAAATTACAGGGCTAACATACTGTCACAACTTTAAAGAACAACACAGGACACCCCACCAGTCTATCAGCATCTCAGACTGTTAGACAAAAATTAAAAACACAGCAATTATTAACATTTATGCTGTCACCTACTGCCTGTGTTCTATTCACCTGCTAGTGAAAACCAATTAACCAGTTCCACTTTAAGATTCTCACGCATTCAAAGAAGCTGCACTATTTGGTCTGTAGCATTTCAGGAAAAGGACTGAACTCAAACCAGAACAGAATTGTGCTTGAAGTCCCACTGTCACCACCACTAAACCCATTCACAGCTGCCTTTGTGACAAACCACGCTCTGTGGTCACACCATCACTGCAGATAACCCTTGTGCAGAAAGAGCTGCTGATCAGTTTAATGGTTCCAAGAAACTCTCCCTCCTTGTTTCTCAAGGTGCATTCATTGAAGCTGTAAACCAGCATTAAAAGAGAATTCTAGCTCTGCAGGACTGGCATTTTTTGGTTCTTGGCTTTGTAAACTTGCTTCGGTAGCAATGCAGAAATAGAAGAAGGAATAGGAGAATTGGCTTGTTGCACCCAAATGAAAATCAGGGACTTTCTTTTCAGGGTCTTTGACAGCTTGGCTGTATGAAAGTATGGTGGCTCCTGTGAAACTTGAAGTCTCATTTTAGGCCAGTACCACTGCTTGAAATGCAGAATGTCTCCATCACACGTACTGTGACAACTCAATACATTACACCACAGACATTTAACGGAACTCCATACATGCTATTAAAAAAGAAAAAAAGGAAAAAAAGAAAAAACAACCAAAAAAAAAAACAAGGGAAGAGAAAGGAAACATCAGACCGTAGCTAAACTGCTTTACATACTGCATGCTACAGCACTTCAGGTATCATGGAGATACGACACTGAAAGGTGACAAAAGGCTGAAGGGATTACAAAATACTTTCAGCAGGTTGGAAAGCTGCCTTCTAACTGTGGCAGAATTTTTCCCCCTCCCCATTCTCTACTTCTAATGTTCATGATTCTAGTGTTGAGTTGGCCATGTATTTTTTTTTTTTTTTTTCTTAATCCGTTCTAATTACAGTGTTTCCTTAACTTAATTAAATCCATCAGTGTGGTAGCTAGGGTGAGAGTCAGCTGTGAGCTGGGTTGTCTCTGTGGCTGATGCTGGCTGTATCACAATAGGTGCGTCTGAGGCCTCTGAAAAGCAAAGACAAAAGGCTTAGTATGCCAAGGCAGAGGGAAAAAAAAGCAGTGCTGTGTGCTTTGGTAAGCATAAGGTACCTCCCTCTGCAATGCTTTGATAACACCATTGTCAGGGGGTGAGCAACTGCACCCTGCATAAGCTTTGCTTATTTCCACTGTCCTTATTGCTTCTTTTCTTTTTCTCCCCTTTTTCTTTCTTATTAACCCATCCTTATCTCAACCTTGGGCTCTCCAATTCTCCCCCCCCCCCCCATTCTGCTGTGGTGGGAGCGAGCAAATGGCTGCAAAGCATTTACCTGCAGCTGGGTTAAACCACAACACCCATTTCCCTGAAGCTGACCTCACCAGGTTCAGGGGAGTTTTCAGCAACTGAATTTCTGGTGCCAGTTACCCACACAACTGTTTCAACTCTTGTGCTACAGTGACTCCCCCGCAGGGACCTGTGCTGATCTGCCTACAGAACAGGCACTGCTCCTCACACAGCACACCGAGCCCTCAGTCAGGGACTGACACACTGAACACCAGAGGTTTACAGTCCTACAAACCTCACGGCTGCACTGCTTACCCCTTTCATCTGACTGCAACTGTGCCTCCAAGTCCTCTGGAGAGACGTAGTATTCCTGCTCCTCGCCTTCAGGAGGTTTAGGTTTACACTTCCCACAGCAGCAATTACAGCAGCAACACAGACAGCAGCAGCAGTAGCAGCCTGTGATGAGCCCACAGAACACGAACAAGGCCTGTAGGAGACAGAAAGCAAATTCCACAAGTGAGAACACACAGTTTTCAAACGGAGTCCTTGAAGCACTTTAAATGCCAATCCAGAACCATTTCTCTTTGTGCTTCAATTTACCTTTGCCCACCAGCTAGACAGCACGAAGTACGTGTTCACATTTTCTTCTCCAAACTGCTCTGCTACATACAGACCCAGGGAGCCATATTTATCATAAATGTTTCTCTTTGTCGCATCGGTCAATATTGCATGTGCATTATTGATCTCTTTAAATTTTTCTGCTGCCTCTGGATTATCAGGGTTTTTATCAGGATGGTATTTCAGTGCGAGTTTCCTGCCAAAAGCAAAAAAGAGATTGTAGATTAGATGCTGGGATTTGGGTTCCTGGTTTGGGTTTTTTTCAGTTCTGCTGCTTGTCACTGAAGAGAAACTTCCAAGTGCCACTGAGAATCTCTCTCCAAGGACAGTTTGTTCATTTCTCATTCACTTCCCTGTTGATTCCAAAATGCTACAGCACCATCCAGCTTTACTCACAGCACTGACTTCAGAGTGTTGGACAGGATCCTTGGAAATCCAGTGAAAAAAATTAGGATACTGAAGACAAGAAGAAAGCACTTTGCCCCTCAGCTCCAGCGATTTCCACCAGCAAGTTTTGCTCCTGCTAAAGCAAAGGCCAAGCTAACAGAAAAGAAACACACCACAAGTCTCAGATACAGCATCAAAGAACAAAGAGAAGCTACAATTCATCTACAGTGTCTCAACACAAAAATAGAACAGAAGCACTTGTGGTTAATTCACCAGTTGCTTTGCAGGTACAAGGCACTTCAGTGCAAGGCTGGCTAGAACAGAACCAGCTTCAGGAAATCACAACGTACCCCCCCACATCATTCTAGATCTCTTTCAACTACATGACAGCAGTTTGCAGTCCCCAGAGATCACTGAATACAGCACAAAAACTCAGATTAAGCACTGATAAATTTGCAAATTCAGACACAGCCCAAGCAATAGAAGAAATCAGTTCTGGCCAGGCATCTCCTGACTGCACGATTGCAGTTTGAGTCATTTGTGCTTCGAAGGAGAAAAATGATTCAGAATGATAGTTCTAATAGTTCTGCACCACCAAAAATGGCAGGTGACCAGCAGGGATGTACCAGCAGAGCCCCGTGTCTGACAGCCACACCGAGAGCCTGCAGACATTTACACACCACAGCTCCTCAGGAGGGAAATATTCAGACAAATGTACAGTAAGGACTTGTGCAAGCATAGCTTTGGGTGCACACAAACACCACAGCATTCAAACAGTAAAGTGAGCTGCACTCGAAACATTTGTAGGCTGTAAATTATGCTGCTTGGGAAGCTAACATTATGCAGGGCTGCCAAAGGTGCCACAAGAGAAGACTGAGATAACCAGTTTTCATAATGAGAGGGAGGGTACATCAACTTAAAGAGGACCTAGCTACTACCAGGTTGTGATAGAGAAATACTTTTCATGTCACATTTCCTGCATACACACTGATCCCACAGGCCAGCAAAGGACATTCCAGATCAAATGGAATGAAAACAAGAAGTGGCCACTAAAAGAGCAGAAGAGGCAACAGGATTAGATGAAGCTCCAGGTGTGAATGAGGCAGCTCTTGAATCCCCCTTGAATCCAGCTGTGCCCTTCTCCCCTAGAAGAAAGTCTTCTAGGTTCCATCCCCATGAGGTAAAAGTGTTTTTCAGTCCATTGTGCTAGAAAATGATTGCCCCAAATGTGCATTGGAGGACTTGGGGAAGACACAGATAATTCTGGACCAGTTTATTCACACGTTTCACTCAGTCATTGTTGGTGGCATAAAAACTGGCTTTGAAAGGGAAAAGCTTTGGTAAACACTGAAGATTAAAACAAAACTTCTGAAAGGAGCAACCTCAAGTGAAGATGACTGCTGACACCTAGTGTGATGTGAAACACACTGCCACTGCCCAGGTAGTCCCAGCATGGCTGCAGCTCCCTCCTACAGCAAAGAACAGATTGCATGCAGGCAGGTTTGGAGGGAAGGTAGGAAGGAGGTGAGGATGGTTTGTTGTTCATTCAATTAATGGGGAACCGTTCCGTGTGACTAAGAAAAAGGGTTAAGAAGAAATGTTCTTTTAAAAATAACTCCACGGACATTTTCAAGATGTCAAAAGACATTTGGAACGTGGCTTTAGAAAAGAAATCACTGCTGATACCCAGTTTTCACTCTTATTTACATCTTTAATCTACAATTCGCCGTGCCAGAACTCGAAATGATGGACAGAAGCGCAGGACTGCCCACCTGTGGTCTCTAAACCACACACAGAGCTGCACAACACAAAGGGAGAACTGCGTTCTGGTGGCAGAGCTACGGCTTCGCTCAATTTCATCTGGAGAGTTTTCAGAGCCATGCAGCACAGTGGAGAATTTCACCTGTTAAATCCTTGCTGTCATCTGCCCCAGCTCTGACACACAGATGCTGTCAGTGACAGTGACATGCAACTCCATGCAACTTCTGTTAAAGCAAACCACGTTTCTCCTCCGTTTTCTCGCGTGCTTTTCTCACACAGATTTTAAATAAACCAACTGGAGCCTATATATAAACGCCTCATCTGTTGAGCACCTCAAGATATTGGTTTTATTGGGTGATGCTTGGAAGACTGGAAACGTTACCTGTATGACTTTTTAATATCATCAGAAGTAGCATTCTTGTCCAGCCCCAGCACGTGGTATAGTGACTCTCCAGAGGTAGACAGCGAGCGTTGCCTCTGGTCTGCCATCTTGGACTAACCTGAACACAGAAATGTCCCTGCCAAAAAAAGAGAGAAGAAAAAGATGAGATCAAGAAATGCTTAAACCAGAAAGAGCAAAGGCCTTGAACAAATCAGCCCTGAAACTGGAGGCTTTGGGGTAAGAAACTTATGTGAAAATTCACATTTTAGGTCTTAATGGGCTTTGAAGAGAAAAGGCTTCTTAATACACGTGGAAGTATAAAGGTTGCCAAAAAAATCAGGGAATTCTCAGCAAAAGCAACAGTTCCCAGCACAGAGCACACAGCCCAGTCACTGCTGTATGTACTCAGCTCCACTCTTTAAAAGAAACAAACTCAAAATCAACAGCTGAGGTCCAGCTGTAAGGATCACACACACATCCCTGTTGCTATTGCACTGTCTTTCTCAGTCTCACTGTTATTCACTCCCAATAACACCTACATGAATAATGGACAACAGGCTGCTGTCAGGTGGAGCTGCCTTCTGCACCACAGAGGTGAACTCAAAGTTCCAACTCCTTAACCAGGGCTTTTATTAGCATTCTCCATTGCATGCATTCCATACATTAAAAGAAAAACCACAACCACCTCCAAAAACCCAAATCTTATCACTGAAACCAGGCACAGCAGAATCCGTTAGCCAAAATCCAGCAGACCTAGGCCAATGCTGCTCTGAGAGAGAGAGAGAGAGAACACCTGCCTGCTTTGGGAGGAGGCAACCACCCCTGTAACAACATCAAGCTGTGAACCAAACATTTAACATACATGCTACATAAACCCTCCTGCTGGAACTTAACCTCCTGCTCTACAATCAGACATGCAAGACCCTCGAGGTGTCCCCTGAGCCACAGGCAGGCATGGTTATGTCCTCTAACATCCTTAGCAGCTTAGCATTTGCCATTCTTTAGCTGCAGAACTGCAGCAAGGATGAGCATTGGAGGGAAGACTATTGGCTATTTTTGGATTATGTCATTACAGTTAGCCCACACCAGATTATACAGACTTTGAAAAAGATATTTAAAGCACCAGACTTTTCTAATTTAACCCTTTATCTTATATAATAAAGCTAATAACTTTGGGTTTCAAAAGGCTAACCTCCAAGAGCTACCCTCAGACCTTGCCTGTTTCACTCCTCCGTTCTTTACATGCTCTCAGAGCACTGATACGCTTCACAAAAATACCAGTTCTGTTTCTGCCAACACACAGCTCTCATCCTTCTTGGACAGGGTGACCAAGGGGCACAGACAGGCAGCACAGCTCCCTGCTCATCTCCGAGCCCACCAGTCACTGCCCAGGTGTAGCAGCTTTAAATCAGTTTAACACTGATACCTGCGGCCACTTTGTTTCACTGGAATGCACCTGCTGAACTTGTAAACTCTCATCCAATTTCCTTCGAGAAGTTATTGACAGCTCTGGTAAGTTTAACTAAATGCTATCTAATAAGGAAGCTGATTAATTAATAATGACGATAACAACACTGAAATATATGCAAAATCCGGAAGGTAAATAATGTCTTTTTCTTTTAACAACACAGCATAAAGCTACTGAAAACAACCCACAGAAGAGGAGAGGAAACTTACTAAGAAATAGGGCACCCACGGGAGGCACAGCCCTCAGGGAGCAGCTTCTCACACCAGCAGCCTCCCTGCCCCCTCTACCTAAGCAGCCCCAGTGCTGAGGTCAAAGACTGCTGATCCTGACGTGCAGCTGGTAATCTACTAATCACAGTGCACAGCTGCCCTGCACTGCCTCTTGCACCCATGGCCAAAACCACCTCCCCTTCCTGACACCCATCCTGGGAATTCTCCCAGGCAGCTCCTGCCATACCCAGCAGCATCCAGCCCAGGGAGGCTTCTCCACCACCCCACCACAGTGCTACCTAGAAGTCTGTTGCTCCATTTAGGCCTAATGAGCTTCCTTCCTCGTCAGCCCAACATGCCCTGGGTGCACAGATGCTGCAGGTCACAGGTACAGTCCCTGTGTTCATTAATCAAACCTCCACCGTAAAACTGGGCCAATGGGTTTGGCAAAAACAAATTCAGCTCGATCCAGCTGTGTCTGTCAGTCTGCAGGCTGCCTGTCAAGAATAAAGGGAGACACAGGAGTAACATTTCCTACCGCTGCAGTTTTTAATCACTTCCATCTGAGAAGTTCAGGGTACCTGGGGGGTCAGTGCAATGGGATGCCTGCATTTTCAGTGCCAGAATGAAAAGGGCACAGGCAGAAGAACAGAAGACAAGGTGCTAACTGGAATTCATCTGGGAAACTCGTTATTTAAAGGAACAGAACGGCCTTATTACAATGAAGGTAACCTTTGGCTCTTCAAACATGGAACAGGATTAGAAATACAATAAAGCTGCAAGCTTTCTGCATTCAGAACACTCCATAAAACAGGATATTACCTGTCCCACTGCTTTCACAAGTGGCTCTCATTCACAGCACCGAAAGCTGCTCTGTGTTTTTAAGGAGGGCTGCATCCAGTAACAAACCATCTGCTGTATGCTCTAAGCAAGCAGGATTCCCTCAAGAGGTTTCTCTCAGAAGGCTCTGAAGAAAGGTAATCCCCTGGATTAAACAGCAGCTTTTAACCATCTGTGTACCAGCACAGCCTGCATCAGCCAACTGTGACAGGAAACACCCCTGCTGGCAGCACAGCCACAACGGGGTCATCGGTGCCATCTCAACAGAGAGATTTAGGTTAGACCTGATTGGTGATCTGAAAACTGGCCTTAACATCTGACAGACATCAGTGGTAAGCTGGGCCCTTTTATAACCTGAGTTTAAGTAAGAAAAATAGCAAACTGCAATGACAGCAAAGAGAAACGGGAAGTTCCCTGCCATTCTAGGGAATTAATACTCACAGACCATCCAGTCCTGTGACATCACAGAGCATCCAGTGAGCGCCAGCACCAAGGATGACAGCAGGTCAGGCGGCCAAACGCAGGACTAAAACTTTTAATTTTGGCTTCATGAGCAGAGAGAATTCTCTAAGAAACTTTGAGTGTTGTTTCCTCAGCATTATACTGCATGTAAATAAGTGGGTTTTATTTTTAAGCTATAAGAAATCCAAAACCACAGCACTCACCTGGCACCTAGTTTGCCTATTCTAAGACAAGCAGTAGCTGCCTCCACACCCCTCTGGAACAGGATCTCCTACAAAAGACAGAACAAAAATAAATCACTTTTTTACAAACTCCTGCTGAGCACCTGTAGCAAAGTTGTCATCCCATCAGTTGAACTTAAAGCAGATCAGCACTGAGGCCATCAGGTTCTGGGAGCTGTTACAGGCTCACAGCTGGCAGCAGGGAGCACATCCTGAGCTCTGCGCACCGCCAGGACGCTCGCAATCACACACTGCCCTGTGACAGAAGTCCCAAATAAAGTCAAGATTATTTCTGTTGCCCAAAATGCTTTGTAGTAAATCTCCATGGTGGCACATATTCAGACGTGATGGGCTGTCAGATGAAGGTGCAAATACTTTAAGGTGCAGACCCAGGGGCTGCGTGCTTCTATCTGCAGCTTCAGCCTCCGTTCCCGAGCCTCCTACTACACCAAAGACAAACACACAGCCAAAACGAGGCAGCTCTGAGCACAGAAACCATAACAACTGCTATCTGCTCCAGACTCCAGCCTTCTGCACCTTAGGCATTGGTGAAATAGCTGTACTTAAAACAAGAGAAGTGTGTTTTTTAAGTCTCGGTAATCTGTAATGTTGTTAGAGAGAGACTGCTAAAGGAGCTTAGCTGATGTGAGGGACTGCAAGCTGCAGCTGAAGAACCAAGTCTCACTTTAGCATACAAGGAATGGAACCGGAGAAGATCCAGCAGCACAAAGCAGCAGGCAGCCCTTCCAGCGGCAGAGGCACAGCTGCACCAGTTGCTGCAGGGTGCAGGTAAGAGGAGAAATGATCTACAAACCATCGATTCCTTGTGTAATCCCTGCCTGTTACGTGTGAGGATCAGGAGAAAAGAGGAAAGAAGGCTGACTTATCAGCCGACAGACAGGAAGGCCACCTGAACACAAACTGAGATCAGCAATGGATTGAAGGCACGGCAAGAAGGGTTGTCACACCAACGAAGGGACACACTCGGGACAGTTGCCTGTTCTTCCAAGTGTCTCACTGCCCCAGAACCAGCTCCTCTAACCTCATCTGTCCCACAGATTTGGATGCGAGTCAGACAGTCGCTGCTCCTTACAGCAGTGAGCCAACACTCAGACCTGAACGCCTGCCTCTGTCTGCTCCCACCTCTCCCACAGCTGCTATTATCCAACAATCTCAGGACAGAACTGCCTGCCCCCAGCCCCACACCTTACGCACACTTACAGGTAATTAAAGAATACCATCTAAAGCTGCTCACCACGCCATACTACAGCCAGCTGCAGATGGCCCCTTCTGGCAGCAAGCCCCACCTCCCCACTGCCTCCCAGCCTGAGCAGAGACAGCATCCACCCTTAACAACCCTGGGGCTACACTGAAACTTGTAACAAACTTAAGGGCAGTGATACCAGTCTTGTTCCCCTAATTAGCTTAGCAGATTAAAATTCAGCCATGCAAGTCTGAGGGCTGACCTGTTACAAAAACCTGTGACCTTGTACTTACACAAGAGCGAGTTCCAAACACCCTCACGAACCGTTTCCACACCAAAGCATCAGATACCCATCTTCCATCCCCCCTCCTCACCTACAGTCATTACTCCTTATTTGATTCTTTGTGCCTTCCCTAGTTGGGGTTCCTTTGGTAAAACATTATTGTTTATGGCACTACGGTCGTTTATATGGCAGCGTGCAAGTGTCACAATTACCACATGGCTATATAGAAAAAACTGCATCTGCTTACTCAGCTGTGTTAAAGTCTAAGGGAAACCAGCAGTTCTGCCTGCCCACCTTCTCATCACCCTTGCTTCTCTATTAAAAAACCTCTGCAGTGCTTGAATCACCGACTTCTCATCGCATGCGAGTGCGCTGCAACCCACAGGGCAAAGCACTGCTCGCTGCTGGGGGAGCCATGCCAAAGGCACTGCTCTCCTACAAACAGCAGCACCTGATCTTCGTGGCCTTTTCCAGCCTTCCTGACTGTGATCACACTGATCCGATGACTCTGCTGCTGTCGTTCGTGGGGGCAGATGGAGAGGCGCCGTGGGAGCAGGTGAGCAGGGACCAACGTTATCCCACCACCGCCCCAACCAAACACACCAACCTTCCTATTAAAGTGACAAATAAAAACACAGACAAAGCAGAAACAGATAGCAGAACGTACACAGCTGAGCTCCCAGATCCAAACATCCCCAGCCATGGCACTTGCAAGAGCAGCTGGAGTGCCTCTGCACAGCGCTAGGAACCCATGGAAGCACTCTCTGAAGTTGGATCCCATTTTTTCCTCCTTTGCAGGTAACTACACCATCTCCCTTCCCAATCTAGACAGAAAGAAAGCAGCTTAATTTCTCTCCACGCACTTTTATCTCATGCATCCAACGGGGCCTTCCCTGCCCAAGGAGAGGAGTGCCTGTCACACGTACCCCCACTCGTGAGCGCTTCCATCCCAAAGGCTTTGCCTTCAGCCAATGGAAAGGTCAAGCACCTCCTCCTGCCAGCTGCACGTCCCCTCTTCTGCTGCTGCACCAGGAGGAGATGCCATCATTTCCCCATTTCACTTCTCAAAGAAGCTGCCAAGAGAAATGCATGTGCTCATGTCACCCTGTGACAAGCAGAAAGCACAGGCCTTCCTTATTAGACCAATGAAACAAAGGCAAAGAAGCACCGTGGCTGTGCCATCTTCCAGAGTTAGACATGAAAACCTTAAGGCCCCTTCCAACTGAAGGCAGTTGGTGATTCTATCACCATAAAGGAGGTTAAGAAAAGATTTTTGTTATGAAACCTGAACTGCCCAGCGCTGCCTCCACAACCCAAACTTCTACATAATGCTATGGCTGGAAAACACAGCATCATTCCTTCCCTGGAGACACCTGGTTGGTGCTGTGGGGGCACCTCATAATGCAGACCTGTGCCAGTCTGTGCTCAGCTCACTGCCTCTGCTGGGTTCATCTGGCTCCAAAACGAAGCCCAGCGGTCGGCCAAGAGGCCTTCATCTGAATGGACACTTTCTCATGGGGGATAAACTCGTTGGTATTTTCTAATTATACAGAGCCATTTCATCAACAAAAAGATTTATTTTACACTACCTCCCTCCTACAGGCAGTGTGCTGATGGCTCCTGCTGTTATCTCACCCTGCAAACATCCCATCCACAATCCATGAGATGAGCCACGTCCTCACAGCCCCACTCAGCCTAGCCTACATAAAGAAAGACACGAGCCCATCATTTAGGAATAATAAGGAAACTGAGAGGTGCTTGTTCTGCCCATTCCCAATACCTGGCTCATTCTGTGGCCTCATCCTGCACAGCCAGCATGCAAGGAAAAGCCCCTCCTACATAGAGCATAGATGCACCTACAGTGGTGCAAATGGGATTATAAGCACAGCACCTAAACATGCATGCATTTTATAAACTTTTTTTTTCCCCACCTGAAGTAACAGAGCAAAGCCAGGAACCTGCCTGCTTTCTGTAGCTGATGCTTCAGCTCCATGGTGCTGAGTGCTGTTCAAGCAGTGCTGTCCTCACAGTGCAGTGGTTAAGCTCTCCCTGTCCTTACAGGGTTACCATTAAACAGCAGTTTGTACACCCATGCGTTACAGCAGCCTCATAACAGCAAGGAAGGAAGAGTGGAAATCACATCACTGGGAGATAATTCTTAACAGCAAGAGGCTTTGTGCAGAAGATGCCAACGGCACGAAGTCACGGGAAGAAGCGTGGTTTTAAGATAAGGGGCAGGAAATGGGGCAGAGGGATTTGCACCTACAGCACAGCTGGAGGAGACACCGGGTGCAGCATCCGAGGGGCTCTGTGCAGCTGCCATCCCATCGCAGGGCCAGGAGCAGACATGGGGCTGCCCCCATCGCCGTCCTGTCCCCCAAACCACGCCGTGTGCTTGGGTAGCTGCAGCCGTGCACCTCTGCTGATTCCATCTGTGTGGCTTTTGTAAGTTAGCAAACAGTGTGTGGAGCAACTTCTGAGTGCTGTGGGGATGAACTCAGGGCGTGCAGAAATCAGGAACTTTGGCAGGCAAGAAAGAAGACTGAGGGGGGTGGTTATTACAGAGAAGTGACATCTCCTATTGCCCAGGCTGAACGTTGCTGCGCTTCGTGCCGCTCAGTGCTCAAACAGTGTCTGTCAAACTGAACGCATCTTTTCCCAGCAGTAACTTTGGGGCCTCCTAAAAGAACCCATGTGTTGCACCGAGCCCCCAGGATCAGCAGATCAACGTTCTGAAGAAGAGATGTGGTTTGTCACCCGATTCTCTTCCGTCACTCAGCCCCATAACGTGCTGCAGTCACACCTGGCCGAGCTGCAGCCTCCCCTGTCACAGACACAGTCAGGTCGGCGTCGAAAGGAAAGCAGCCCTGTAGCTCAGGAGGAGCAAACTGGGAGCAAACCTGGAGCAGCCAAGCCTTGCGTTGCGTGCCATGCACTCAGATGGTGGCACAGAAACAATATGAGATCACAAAAAATTTCTGAGCATAAACACAATTGCTGAAATATGACTGCCATCACAGTAACAGAAAGTCCTGTAAGAGGAGCAACGACAGATGGAAGGGAAAAGAGTATTTTCATTTGAAATACAGCCAAAATTTCAAAGACTCGGAAAGGGGAAAACAAACAGAGCTGTGCAGGTTTCTACTTTTTGTGCCCCCAGATTACCAGTGAGCTCTGGACCTGACTGGGGTTTTTATTGCTGCTCTGGACCTACTGCCTGTGTTCTTCAGCGCAACACAGCAACAATTTGGGAGCAAAAAGACAGTGCCGCAGCATCTCTGCTTCCACTGAAATGCCATGGATGACACAAAGGAGGGAGGGAAGGAAACAAACTCCTTTTTGTTTGCAGAACGTCTCACCTCCCAGCACTGAGTTATCCCAGAGCACACCCTGCAACGCCAGCACTGCCAGAAGTTGTCCTGAAGTCCTTTGGGCACCACAGGAAAATTGCTCTTTCAGTCCACTCTGCAATCAATTTCTCTTCTAGTCCAACCTGGGCAATCCCTCTCTTTCCTCCCTCCCAACGCGCACCGTACTTAAATTATTAGAAGCAATTCATTAGTGCAATTGAATTTGGCACCTATTCCTCAGCCACCTTATGCAGGACCTGACCCGTTTTCTACCAGAAGCCAACAGCAAGGCCCAGCCCAAAACCAACATAAAACTTCCCAATCCTTGTGCTGGAACTGCAGCTGGTGCGATGCTCCCAGACACACGTGGCCAACAGGACCCACATGAGGACATCAGAACTACTGCACACCAGTGCACTGCATGCATGAACACATGGCCTTCTGACAGCTGTACTGCAGAGAGTGGCTATTCAGCACACCCAGCAGCATCTCCCACATTAACACCTCCATAAAAGCAAACCCAGAGATAACGCTGCCTGCTTTGCTGCTCAGGTCCGGCTCTCACCTCGCTTCCCAAGCAGGAAGCTCCACAGCATCGTGCTGCACCCGGCAGTGAAGTCAGCAGCATTGTGTCAGCCAGCAGAGAGGTGTCAATGAGGGATGAGCACAAAGGCAGAGCGCTGCCTCATCCCTCTGCTGCTCCCGGTTCTATGGTGCATCCCCACAGCATCCTGACCAGAATCCTTAATTCCAACACCGCCCAAATAAAGGGAATTACGCTGCGTCCGCAGCTTTCTGACTGGAAAGGCTTTCTGGCAATACGTCATTTGTTAATGGCATCGTCACCAAGCAGTCACAAATTACATGTAAAACATCACAGGGAACGACGTAAGGAAGGGGAAGCACAGAGATCCCCCGAGCGATGCTCGATCGCTGCTCACCCGTAACACAAACGCTCTGCATTCAGAATTCAGCTCTCCAGGCCCTCGGCTGTGTTCTGGGGGGTCTCTGCAGCCCCACACCGCAACACCGCTGCTTCCCCAGCAAAGCAACGCGCGCGCAGGCAGCGGGAGGACGGGATTTCCACCCCCCCCCCGAGCACGAGGTTCCCACGGAAAGAGCCACGACGCCGTAACGGTGATGCTTTTTTTCCCCAGCCCCGCATAACGAAGGGATGCTTCACTAATCGCGGCGGCCCGCTGCCCCCCGGGACACCCCGGCCCATCACGGAGCGGCAGCACGGAGATGCACTGCCAACATCCCACTGGGCCCCGCCGCTGCCCGCCGGCCCGCCTCCCCCAGCCATCCCCGTTCCGTCACAGCCCCTTCAGGCCGCTTCCCCTCAGCCCCACGGCCTCCATTCATCCCCACGCAGCCCAGGGCTGTTCCCGCCCGCTCCCTCAGCCCCACGGCGGCCCTTCGAGGCTCCGTCCCCCCGCCCCCCCCGGCCCCACAGCCTCTATTGAAGACCCATCCTCCTCGGCCCCCGCACGGGCCCTCCCCGGGGCACAGCCTCCGTTTGGGCCTCAGCCTCGCGCCCGTACAGCTTACGTCTCAAACCCCCCCCACCCCCACCTCGGGTCGGGCCCAGCGCTACGAAGCGAGGCCCGATCGGCCCAGCGCTCACCTGCGCCCCGCGGGAGGGCGGACTGGCGGGCAGCTGGAGCCGCGCAGCCCCGGGGGGGGGGGGGGGGCGGGCCCCGGCCGGGGGGGGGGGGGGGGGGGCCCACCCCCCCAGCGCCCCGCAGCACCGGGACCCGGCGACGCTGAGCACGGGCGGGCGGGCGGGGGAGGGGCCTGCGCGGCGCGCAGCATGTACGGCGCCTGCGCGCGCTGCCCCGCCCACTTGTCGCCGCGCGAGCACGCGGAGCCCCGCCTCTCCCTGCCGGGAGCGCGCGCGGACGCGGTGGAGCGCGCAGAGAGTTAGCGCGGGATGGAGGGGGTGGAAGGCGGGGCTGCGCGCAGCGGGCCGCGCCCTATTGCTGACCCGGGAGAGAAAAGTGGCCCCTACGGAGGGGGAGCGGCAAAAGGTATCTTCCCTGACCGGGAATCGAACCCGGGCCGCGGCGGTGAGAGCGCCGAATCCTAACCACTAGACCACCAGGGAGGGTTGGGTGAAGTGCTTGTTACGCTCTCTGTAAGCCGAAGCACGGAGCCCCGCCGGGTACTTTTTGTAACTGGCTGCTTCATCTGCTCTGTGCTGCCCCGTCGGACAGAACGACCCCGTTCCCTGCAGCCTCCAACCCTCTACTCAAAGCCTCTCCATCTCGTGCTCCCTGCAAACCACCTTGTATTTAGGTGCGGGTGTTACCCAGCCCCTGCAAAGCAGCACGGTTTCCTTCTGATGCCTCAAGTGGCCTGAGAGACGCGCAACGAGCTTTCTCAAACCCTGTCCTACACCGTGCATGAACCACGGGGGCAGCGGGGCTCCCTCTGCTGCCCTTCTAAGCCTAAGAGCGGCTCCCAGCCCAACTCACACAGCCGTCACTTCGCCTCCACGGTGACCGTTTCAATCGGAGCTTCCAAGCTGCTGATTGATTCCCTGCGGTCTCCAGCTGCGCACGTGAGCCAGCACCGCAGCTGCTGCTTCTCCACCTTACATTCCCCCAGCTCCTGCTGTCACTACTCGGGAAGCCCGAGGCACGGGCAGAAAAGGGAGCAGTGTGACATCACCTGGTGCAAATGTGGGCCTGCCACTTGAAAATCAGAGCATAAACACTTCTTAATGCATTGCTCCACAAGATGCAGGCAAGGCAGAGGGATGCTCCGTCCCTCATCCCCGCAGGAGACCAGGACTTCCCTGCCAAGTTCACAGAGCACACCTAAAAACAGACCAGTAGCATTACAAGAAATAAAACACTCACCCCGCTTTCTCCCAAAGGAATGCTTTATTGACAAGATTCCTCAGAATTGATCTGTGCAGAGAAACAGTTCCAGACCCAATCTCCAGCAGCGCCCGTCTCACCGCTCCTCGCACAGAGGCCAGCCTTGGTCAAACAGGGCAGGCTGGGACACTCCACTCCTACTGCCAGCACATCCGCTGCTACTCACACTCAGGGTCCCCATCAGGAGGGGAGCAGGGGTGGGGAAAGTGGGGATTAATCAGCAGAAAAGTGTCAAAACTTGCTTCTCTAAAGAAGGGCCAGGCAGCCCAGTCCCTTCGGGGTGATAAACCACTAAAGCTACCAGATATGTACATAGGCAAGCCTAAAGACCTGAATAAGTCCCACTTGGCCTCTAAGGCACAGAATTGCTCACTCTATATGGAGGTGCATTGCCTAGAATAAGCTCAGGCCTCTGTAAGACAACTCACAACTTATCAGCTCCCAAGCTATGAAGCTGGGCATCAAAAGAGCAAACCATCTGCTCTGGGAACCAGTGAGCTCTGTGACTTTCTGCTGGTTTTGTAAACCAAGGTTGCAGCTGGGGCTTTCAGCTGAAAAACCCACACAGTCACAGGCAGATGCACCAGACAGAGAGGCCCACAGAGAGCAGAGTCCTTCCAGTATAGCATAGCACTGCCAGCAACAGCTTTGTCCTTTTTAAACCTGGCCCTGTTGCTAGCAGCCTTCAGACTTCTTTTCCTCCAAGAACAAAAGCTGAGAAGGGAGAAGCAAGTTTTATACACAGGGCAATAGAGTGCACCACTGAACGTTTACACAAAAACTGGCTCACAAGCATGCTGCTACTACTGAATGATGCAAAACTCCAGTGCTCAATATCCAGCTTTATAATCCTTATAGTCTTCTCTATAGAAAAAAAACCAAACATAAACAAGTAAAGCATAAGGTGATGTAAGGCTTGCAATTCAGTTTCAGAGTCCAAGGGAGCATTTCCCCAATACGATGCCTAAGCTTTTTTTGCTGTTGTTAAGCTTTATTTCTTTAAAGTTCATTGCATTTAAAAATAAAGATCTTAAGTTTTGTTAAAGCTAGAGCATTAGTGTAATAACGAGGCAGCTGCTAAGTGAAGTTTCCCTCTTGGAAGCCCAGAAAAACAAGTGTTTGCCCCATTTAACAGACTGCTCCAATGAGAACCAGAGGAAGCAGTAATAGGAGAAGCCTGGGAGATCAGGGAGTAACTGCATGGCAAGCCCTGAAGAGAGAACACAGCCAGAAGCTGAAGCTAAGATGCCCCTCCTCTTGGTTTCTCCTCTAACTGCCCTCCTCACACTGCACATGGCAATTTAACTGTTCCAAGAGACAACAGAAGTGGAAAAACTTTTTTTTTCTACACCAGTGGCATTTCTGAGCTACTTTAGGGAAACTCCATCTTCAGTGCTCTCCCAAAAGGATAGCACAGTGATACAATTCATCTACAAACTTTAGTGTAAAATATTATCTGTGTACAAAACTTTGCATTCTCTTTATTTGACTTAGATCCAGCAGCAGTGTCTATGAATGAGTTATGGATCTCTCCAGACTGGCTCTCAGCCCCTTCATGGATTTGAATGTTGTCGCTGTTGTGAAGATTTGGGAGGGAGGAGGCTTGCTCTTGGAGTCGTGCACAGCTGTGCAAAGCCACACTGCAGGTCTAGAAAGGAGCGTTGTCCTGGGGGGGCTTGTCTCCAGCTGAGGGGGACTGGAGGCCATCAGTGCTGTTTTCCCTGCTGCCCACCACTCTGGACTGAAAGGAGAGAAGCTAGTTAGGATAACAAGAAACCAGTACTGAGATTACCAAGCCAATCTCCCTCGTCAAGGTCACCTACCGTACAGCAAAGACTCTGCATCTGAGAAGCCATTTGCCTCAACAGCAGTTTACAGAACACTATGGAAATCAAAATTTCTGCTTAAGGCTTCACACTGTACAAGGCAAAGCAGATAGTTACCTTTATGGTCCCAACTCTATCTTCAAATGACTTGAAGGTTGCAGAATTCCTTGAAGAAATAGGAAAACAATTAAAAAAAAAAAATCAAAACAAATTAGCTCTTAAGTAAACCAAACCACAGTGTGCCTGGGCTCCCTGCCCGTTCCCATGCAATGCCAGAACACCCACCACACTCACAGCTCCTCACCACGTTAGCCCTTGGCACAAATGTCTCACGCACACCAGTCAAAAAACCCCACGTACAAACTGTGAAGGAAAACATTTCTGCCATGTGCAATCTATTCATAAGCTAAAAAATTGAGGGGAAAACGTCCTAGCTGTCTAGGGAATCAATGCATGACACGTAGAGAAGAAACTAGTCCTCAGTTCTTCAACTAAAAGCATGCTTTCTTAAATAACGGAAATGAAAAGCTGACAAAGGTTTCAAAAAAGGCTTCGTTTTCCCACCTTGCATCCTGCTGGCAGGAAGGGGAAGGGCCACGTGCCTGAGCCTATGAGCAGTTCTGTTACACAGGTGTGGTCATAACATCAGAAACACTTACAGAAATCCCAGTGTGATAAATTAATCAGCAAAGAAAGCCAGGTCAGTTGTTTGGCACTGAGAGGTGGCTTCGTTGGTGAATGTTCCCAGGGGAGGGCTGAGCAGAGTGCTCTGCTGGACAGTCATGCAGAGCCTTCTCCCCAGGATAGAATGCATAAGCACCATGAGCTGGGTGACAATAAGCCTCATCTCAGGCATTTGGATCCAAATCAGCACTCTACATTTCTGCCACAAAATAACATCCGCTGAGCAGGAGTGAGGATTAACAGAGAGGGGGCTTCTGTGGGCCTTGCCCAGCTCTGGTGACTGCTTCTCTTAAAGGATCACCATCTAATGTACCACAAAGGCACTCTGAGAAGGGCACGTAGCTCCCGAGGTGGAGACAGGAGACTTAAGCTAGGATTCAGTATTAGCTGTGCTGTAAATGGCAAGAAAAAGGCTGTAATCCCTCCCTCCCCTTCCTGTAACCTCTGAAAGCTGCAAATTTCAATTCGACTTTGGTACAGTTGCAACACACTACACTTAGTCCAAAAACAATGCAGGTGCTACCAACCATAAAGAGAGATGGAGTAAAAACAAAACCCCCAAATTACTTAAAGCTCGGGGCACAGTTACCCCATCCTCTGAGCAGGGAAGCACTCACACAAACCAGAACAACAAAGGCACCCACAGTCTCCCACCAACCCCACTGAGGAACCACGGCTGTGTGTGACATTACCTCATTGCTGGCATACTTATCGAGTGGCGAATGGAGTAACTGCTGCTCGGAAGCATTCAGAATAAGGAGGAAAAGGTTAAATGACAGTTTTAAACAGAAGCCACGCACGAGCAGCACGCCCTTAATCCTGCCCATACACAGGCTGCCAAGGATGAGCACGGAGCTAAAATCCCTCTTCTCCCCTTCTTGACAATGAGATATTTAGAAAAGGGCTTTCCAGCTACGCCCAAGACATGAGAGCTCAGGTGCCAACGCTCAACAGCAGAAATTGAAAGCAGGGACAACTGCGGGACAAAAAGGTGCACAACTGGTCTGTCTGTACAGAGCCACTCAAATGAGTGGGTTTTCACTAGTGATGGTTTCTGCCAGCCAGCTGTTCCAATACAAAGCTGACAAAGACAGGAAAAGCACGCAGTGAGTGCTGCCAAAAGGTATGCTGAGTTCGGTGCTATCAAACAGCAAGGTGTTAGAAGCTGCTCAGGAGTTAAGAGGAGCCTTCTAGCTGCAGCTGTACCATATGGCAAGAACTGCAGACTGCAACCATGATGTAAAAGCCAATTGCCAGGCACTGGGTTGAGCTAGGTTTCTCAATCCATGTCAAAAGTGTAGGCGAGGCTCAAATCATCAGCTTCCCCTTTAACGCCTGCAAGGACTTGGCACAGAAACATCTGCTCCGAGAGCAACCTTGGAGATATCTTACCTAAAGGAATGCGAGAAGGGGTGAGCCCTGAGAGAAGCCATTGACAGCAAAAAGAGAAAAGGGAAGCAACAGTCAGGCATTGTGCAGACCTGAATGCTAAATGCAAGGCAGCTGAGCAGGGACACAGTCGCGGGATCACGGTGCAGTAAAAGACTCCTCCTGCAGAGGAAGCCTCTCAAAACAAACTAGAGAAGCAAGTGAAAAAACCAATTGCTTTTCATTAACTCACCCCAGTCTACGCTTACCCACCCATTGCTTTTACTTGATTTTTTTTCTTAGAGCCTGTTTTCCTAAGCTAAGGTTTTTACCAAGCACCAGCTGAGTTGATAAAAACATTTCCTTCCCCTCTGGGCTGTGGCACAAGGACAGCAGGGCCAGGCTTTCTGGCTGAGACCTCCCATAACGGCGCCTGTGTGTTACCTTGCCAAGCCTGCAGACCTGAGTTACAGCTCAGAGAACAAACAGATCTCAACGTAATAAAGATAAGAATATCTGGATGAAAGTTATCACGCATACTCAACACCCATTCTTAAAGTGAATCATTTGCCACCACGTTACCAGTTTCCACATCTGATTTTGCAATGCAGCACTGTCTCAGTCTGAAGTTAGAGTAAGCTTTCCTACTGCCACTACTAAGATTTCCAGGATGTTTTGAAGAGGCTTCTCCTTCTAGAAGCAGCATTTTATTCCACTTCAATATCATTTTTGTCTCTGCAGCTGGAAGCAGTCACAGCAAGTTGAATGTGAAGTGCTTGGCAAGGAGCACAAGGGCTTTTCCTTCCAGTCTGAGCAATGACATTAAGCTTTGGGATTTCATTTCCCCCGTATCCAAGTTGGCCCTTTGGCAACACAGACCCTTGAGACACTGTCTGTGCGTGAGAAATTAACTTCCTCCTTGCTCTCTGTTAAAGGAGAAGAACACAGATCACACGTCCATGCAGCATGCTGCTCTGCGTGCAATACCACAAGCACTGGTGGGCCTGGAGACTTCTTGGCAGTGACCCTTTTTCCTCCAATCACAAGGATTTAAAACTTGTGTGAATTCAGGAGTGTGGGAGCTCCACCTTACAATAAATGTGCTTGTAGTATTATAGACAGTAGCGAACTCAGGCACCACAAAATGCACTGGGAGACAAAAGCACAAAGCTTTTATCTGGCAAAAAGAAAACACCTTCAATTTGCAGTTTACTGGGGTCAGTAAAATGCAGGAACGCCTAAAAGCCAGTTTACTTTTCAACTGTAAGTGGAGACAACAGAAAGAGCTGAATTGGCGAGGACTTACAGAAATCCCACCCATTAACTAAGCTGTTTTTGTTACTTGTGGCAATCTAATAGAGCAACAGCACTAATAAGTACATTTAGTGCATGGTTACTGCATTCACCTCACGATCTCTCCTTGCAATTATAACAGCCTTAACATTTAGAAGTATTTTGACCAGAATGCAGGAACTGAAGGTTTAACCCAGGGCCACGTTGCTGTACTTCACACCATTTCAGTGCACACATTTCTAATGGAATTACGACTGCGCCCTCTGCATATCTAAGGAGATTGCCCATTTATCACACCTTCCTTGTATTTATCAACCGGTGAAGGCTGAATAAACAAGGAAATCCCCTCTGTTATCTCAACACTTCCAGTGCTGGAAAATAAACCTTCGTGGAACGGGAAAAAGCAAGTACAGTAACTGAGGTTGTAGTGTTGGCTATGAGGCCTGGAATGGAGATTCTTGGAACACAAAGACCATCCCCCAGCTATCAGAGAAGTGATCACAGCAGTACGACAGACTTCACTCTGGAAGCTCTGATTGCATATCAAAACCATGTAAAGTTTCACCTGGGGTAGAAAGCGAGCCAGTTCCTGCAGAAGCTTACACTCAGAGCTAAACTTTGTTCAGAATTAGAGATATCGAGGCTTGAATACAGCAGAGAGAATTTCATTTATGTAAGCACAGAAAAACTAGAAGTCTTCTTAAAAAAAATAATTATCATTACTGCGTTCCCCACAGGGCCGTATATACAAAGCACATCCTCCTGAAGTAAATTTGGCAGGGATATCCTCAAGAAGCTGCATCTATTTCCTCATACATCACCCCAAGTATTATCTATAGAAAGGAATTACATGCTTTGAAATCGGTGACTAATGCTGAGCAACGCCATGGCTGCAATGGCCTGACGTGTGAGCAGTGAGCTGGGCCAGCACACACCAACAGCACGGTGGCTGTCAGCCCACCTCCACCACCAGGGCTAAGTTCCACTCCTCGCTCAGCTGTGCATCCCTCCCTCCATCAGCTGGCCCACATGGTGAACTTGTTCTGCCAGTGAAGAGATGCCATGCTGACGAGATTGATCCCGCACATCTTCTGGTGGTAATGCTGGCTGGGAGCTCCCCATTTGATCCAGAGAGTACAGTTCTCATCCCTTTGCCACAACAGCCTGACCAGACTGCAGAATTTAGAAGTTTACTTCACCATTACCAGCTCAGGAAGAGCTGTTACCACACCATAACATCTTGCACCAGCGTCTGGCTGCTGATGTCACAAGTGATTACACATAAATATCTTCTTCCCATAAAGAAGGCAATTTCCAGGACAGAAAAATTAAACCTTGAGTACTGGAAGGAGCAGGAAGTCAGCCAGTCCTCTGCCAAATTCAGACAAGTGAGATGCTGAAAATGTTCACCAACATTACCCTCCAGGAACACAGTAAGTGAGTCAGTGGGGAGAGATCTAGAACAAACCAGCACTGTGTGATCAGAGGCCAACAAGTTCTTACCACTTGGGTAATCCCAGCCACAGTGGAATAGGAAATTCCCTACAAAGAACAACAGCTACCAGTTCAGTCCAAGATCTGGAACATCATATTAAATTCAAGCTCTAAGAATTCTTCTTTAGTCATTTAGGTAGACTGCAGGTTCAGAATTAACTCTCAGTTCCAAGAAAAGCATCAGCAAGATATTCCACATGCAAGAATGTGCACAACACCACCACTAATGGAGAAACAATCTTCAGCTTACATTTCTCCAGACCAGGTAAATCATCAGTTCTAACCTTCAGCTTTTTAACTCCCAGAACCAGAACCCCAGCCAGCAACTGAGGGAATCAGCTCTTAACTTTTCAGCCCAGAGAGTTTTAAATACGCAACTACTTCAGCTGCCATCTAAAGGCATCTAAAGAACCACCAACCAGGAGAAGTCCTTAATATTATCATATCTTCTGCATCAGCTCATGGCTTCCAAACTACACGACATAACCATGCTCAGAAGGCATGCTGCTCTCCTTCCTAGAAAGCTGACACGTAGGGTTTGGAACTGCATGATAAGCAGCATCCAGACTTTGTTCACTTTAAAGCACAGAATAATAATCCTGTTCTAATCTTAAGCCACAACACTGAGAAAATACACCTCCACCATACAGTAATGAATAGAAAACGCAACCTTTAATACTAGTTTCTTATGTATGATGAAAAAGCTGCAGTGAAACTATGACAGTAAAAGAGGGAAGGGAGCTAAGAATGTTCTGCTGGTTCTGCTAAGCGGAGCCACGCTGTTAAGTGCCTTGAAATGGGTTAAAGACTGGTTGAGGGGTAAAAAATAAGTGTTTAATCTGTTCTGAACAACGATGTACGGGGCCACACATAAGAAGGTGGTCCATCAACAGCAGAGTGCTGCCAACTAAGCAGAAAAATGGAAAAAAGCCTTGTTATTGTTTAAAGCTTCATTGCTGTTTGAAACCCAGATCAAAGCACCAGAGCACAAAACAGAAACCTTACCTCATGTCCCCAAGTTTCCTGCTGATAACAGAACCTACGTTGGAAAGGGCTGCTGAAGTCTTCTGTCCTGCTTGGGAAAGGGTTTCTTGAGTCTTCTTATAACTAAGTAAAGAAAAAAAACAACCAGTAAGCTGAACTGACAGGGTTAGGCTCTGAAAGTGAGAAGCATCCCCCAGTTTTACAAAGGAGCCCACGTTAAAGGAAAGAAGCTAGGTTAGTGAGCTGCACTAACTTCACTGAAAGAGCTCCCTCCAGTCTTACGTATAGCAGTCTTGAAGTTTTAAGAAAGCAACAAGTGCAGGATTAACCTTTCCATAACCTTCTGTTATGTTACCACCTTGATCACACTGTCTTGAATTTGACAGAGTTGCAAAAAGAAAAAGCCAATTTTTCACGTGGCAACCTTAATACTACAGCATTGTAACCTATTTGCTCTGTTATTTTGGACACTGAGAAAATTAAGTGTAGGAATCAATCCCATAATATGCCCTGAAGAAGCAATAGGTTGTGGTGTCAGGGTATGGAGGATAGAGGCAAGACTAAGATCACTGTACAGAAAAGGAAATGCAAGGATCAGCATAACTCCCATCACCACAGTTCAGAATTAAATTGGCAGAGAAGTTTCCTATCAGTTACCATTAACCACAGTAAACAAGTCTGACAGCTCGCATTTATCAGCTGATTACATTTGAGTTTCTGCAAGTGCTGCAGTCAGACACTTGAGAACCTTTGTTTCCACAAATGAGACGTGCTTTAGGAACAAAGGTTCTTCAAGTCATGTTCTTTAACTGATACACTCTAAGCTATTCCACAGCTGGTGATTAACATCCACATTTAGGGCATTCTTACAAGACCCAGTCTTGAAAACAAGTCCAAAAATGTAAGCCCAGTTTTCTTTATCCAAGCACATCAGCTTGAGATGACTTTTTTGCCCAACTGCGTTTAGCAGAAGGACATTTATAAACAGAACAGAATATCCCAAGTTGGAAAGGAGCCACAGGATCACCAGGTTCAGCTCCTGGACTCACCTCAGCAGCCTACTGTTCCCACCTCTGAGCTCCCAAGGCTCGAAGCCCCACGATGACAGCTGTATCTACTTCCCATTTGCTCCAAACAAAACAATGGAAGGCAGCATCTTGAACTAGATTCCAGCAGTGCCAACTACATTTGTTTCTTTTGCTTTTTGGTTCAAGACCACAGCCACCTATTTCTGAATCAGGAATGCAGTCCCTCTTGCAATAGCTGGGCATGAATCCTGGGGTAAAAGCTTCTTCAGAAGAGGATCATGTCAGCTCTCCTTCTGCAGTCTGGCTCCCTAAGCCCTGTCACTCACAGCTGACAGGAGACATGGAAGACCATGTGCTCACTAAAACATGCTGTGCCCACTAAAACAGCCATGCTTACTGCACTGCTTGGCACTCAATTCTCCCAGATTAGCACTGAGACCAGAGCAGTGATGAGAGGAAGCGTTTACAGAGGACACCATCACACCTCGCACACATTGGAAACTCTTAGCTATTATGTTGAGCTTCAGCAGATGAGAGATTTTCCAACTACTTTCTCCACACTTGACAGCAGGATTCTTAAGACAATCCAAGATTTAGCACTCAGGTGTTGCTCCTTCCCCCTGAACGTGCTCCTGCACGATGCCAACACAACCGTGAGCTGACATGGTGGTTTAGATCAGGGAACCCACCTGGCTGAAACAAATGCTTGGAAAGAAAAATGAAGATAGCAGACATCAGTTCAATCCAGTCCTGCATCCACAGCTCCTACACACAGACACACCTCCAGCACTGCAACACATGAGGCAGAGCCAGGAAAGCACAGCAGATGAGAAGCTCCTGAACCCAGAGCTGCCATCCATCAGTCAGACGTGTGGGACCATGTCTGTAAGCAGCAGGGACCAGGCTACAAAAGCCTCCAGTGCAACTGAACAGCGCTCAGCTCTGACCCAGAAGTCACAACTACCCTCCTGCAAGTGACACAGCTAGGTACAGCATCTGTATCAACTCAGTCATTCACTTCCTTCCCTCAAGCACACTGGAATAACCCAAACCTGGGAGCAGTTCGGTATGAGCTTTGTAAACACCTCTCCATACCAACAGGCAGCTGGCTGCAGGAGAAGCTGCAGGAAAGGTCTCTGCCCTGAGGTATGCATTCTGCAGTACTCACACATTTCATTGCATCCCTCTCCTACCAGAGAAGAGCCAGACACAAATCCTCAAATCCTCCTTTATCCCAATACCAGCCTGCTCTCACTTGCTTTTATCCAACAGTCGCTGTCTGTACCAATTCAGTCACCCTGCGTCCAGTTTAGCACCAAACCAAAGCTACAGACAGAGCTGACTGTCTGTCCTTGCCCTACTGCACACAGAGGGCAAGTCAAGCTCCAAGGCCAGAGCAGCAGCCACCAGGAAGTTCAGCAGAGCACAAAAGCACATTAACGTCCCGGGTCAGTCAGGATGCTTGTAAGCTACTAGAGAAGCTCCAAAACAACAGGAAAGAGGATTCATTTACACAACAAACCCAAACCACACAACTGAAAACCTCTTCTTTGGTTCTCTTGAACTTGGCTCCTAGCATTTACCAAGCTTTAGGGAAAGGAAACCATTCAGTTTCTGAAACACTGCTGGAATTTTACATTTCAAGCCCACTGGTCTTTCCCATTTAATTGGCATCCACCTTGTTAGCATGAATTGCAATGCTGCCTAGTGCCAAAGCAAGCAGGAAAGCTGGCATGCCACAACTATTCAGGCCCTGAGCACACTCCAGAAGCTCGCTTCCGCCACACACTCCTGGTGCTTATTGAGTGCAAGGAAACAGATATAATGAGAAGCTTTCTATTCCAGCAGGCACACCCAGAGAGGAACTCTGATTAAACACCACTGCAGTCAGTCACACTGTTGGTGAGCATAAACACAAGTCACTCTATTTAGCAAGTAAAATAGTGACTATTTACATTTTCTTAATCTAGAAAACATTCACAGAACTTTGAAAATGGAACCTGCATGCGTAAGTAGTGTAAAAAACAAAACAACTGTCACCTACCCTCACCCATCTAATGAAGAAAACCCTCTATTAACAAGCACTGAAAGCAAGAGACCAGCCTCAAAGGACTGAATTTCATACCTACCCCAGCGAATGGGAATATCCTGCTTACCTAAGACCCACCTTACCATGGTTCAATCAGCTCAGAAAGCAACAGCACAACCTACCTGCTTCCACTGCACTACTGTAAAGGATTTCCCCTACATACAATGAGGTGCAATGAGAAGGATGAAGGCCAGCTTCTGTAACACGCTTCTGTAATTCAGCCCAGATGAGAATTTAATTCCAGACACTTAATAAAAACATAGCTAAGAGACTTTTGCAGCCAATGAACTCAGTACAACAGCTGTGAGGTTTAAGCTGTTCACATCGCTTTGGAGCCTTAAAATGTCAGAGCAGCTGCCTTGGACACTAAAGCTTCATTTGTTCTCATCAGGTACCACAGGCAAAAGAAGAGCTCTTGCTCCCCACAGAGCGTGCTGAGGGGGGACAAGATCAGGCAGACTATTGCACAGCTCATCAGTTGAAGTTACAAAACCTGGCATGCAGCTCAGGTACCCAGTGGCTTCAGCCAGTTCTCCAAGAGCAGGCAGCTGTTTGAAGAGCATCACCTGAACCACAGTGAAACCATTCAAAGACTGACCTGAAAAAAAAAAAAAAGCCTTCCCTCTCTCAGAATAGACTTTTATTAGGGTAAAAAAAGTGAAAGCTGGAAGAAAGAAATGCTTAAATAGATGTAGTGAAAGGACAGGACTGCGAGCAGGGCCACAGAGCATCAGTGGTAGCAGACTGTCACGAAGGCATTTGTTAACGCTGAAGGTTAAGACACTCACGCTTCTGATTGAGTTAATTTTTCATTCCAGTCCTCCAGAGTGCTGCTGGCTGAAAGATATCTACAAACACAATGGAGGTTAGATACAGGTACAGTGCCAAGATTCACGACTGATGCTTCTTCTGACCGCTGTCTTGCTGACTTCCCACATTAGTGTCTCTTTACACTGACAGCACTGCAGGTTTCATTTCTCTGATAACAGCCTTCCCCCTTCTCTGTTACAGACAGAAGAAAAGGAGCTGTTGTTTGAGAGGCAGGAAGACACCCCAGCTCTGGTTTCTTTCTTATCCAAACACCTCCAAACACTGTGCACAAGGAAAGTCTGCAGTTTTGAAGGCGTTGGGAACTGAAAGACTTCAAACCTTCTGCTCCCTTCATAAATACAGCATGGGCAACCAAACACCAACAGTTAAAAGCAAGCAACAGAGAATTGAGCACAGTGCCAAGAAATCTGACTGCCATCCCCAAAGCTGCATTTTACCTGTAGAGTATGAACTGGACAAACTGTTACAATGCACTTCATTCTCTCATCTTTAGAAATCACGTTATAACAAAGTATCTTTGGGACTGTGAGAATTAACACTGAATGCACAGAAAAAGTGCTATGAAAGCATCTGCTGCCACATGTAAAAGTGCTCAGAGGAGGTACATTGCAGGCAGTTCCTGTCGACCCTGGAAAATAACTATGCCTAGTCAGATCAGAACTGCTGACAGGAAGCTTCTAACTCACATTCTCTCAGCTAAATAATCACTTTCTTAAGCACAAAATGCAGAATGGGGAGAATCCCCAGCACAGCAAACAGTCAAGGTCTCCTTCAGTTCAGTTCATTCTGTTCAGTTATGTAAGAATCAAAGTGATTTGTGACTAACCAAGAGAGGTCTAACATGACTAAAGAATACATTCTAGAGACAAAAGCAGGCAGCAACATTTAACACCTGCTTGTATATATTGCAAAGACTAAAATGAATTGCTTTCTAGTGTTGGACAGCATTCAGAAAGGTTCACATGCACCAATCAGAGTCACAGCATGGCAGCTTTCAAAGCCTCCTGTACACGTTTACATTTGCAAAGCCCCTGTTTTCAGCTATGGCCTTCAGGCATCCTATTTCCACTGTGGCCAAACAGAGAGGTAATATTCAAACTGAAACCTACCACATCTGATGAGAAAAGAAATAATTTCACAGTAAAGACAGAAGTTCACTGGTAAGATACCTAATCACAACAGATCAGTCTAACAGTGATCAGTTAAAGTGAGACTGTGGTTGATTTCTTTCATTATTTTTTAATCAAATGTGGTTTGGTAACTGATTGGAATTTTTCTTCAGCAATGGCAAGACTACAAGAAAGATGATAGCAGTAACTTTTACTCATCTCCTCTGGAACTGAGGAGTGCTTATAGCTGGATGTCAGGCATGCTGCTAAGAACAGAGCTCTGCTGCGCCTCCAGCTCCCAATCAACCCCTGATGCCTGTGAGAACAAGGAGCAGCACAAATGGGGAATGCAGCAAGGAGCACGAAGGTGTTGCTGAGCAGCCCGAAGGAACTCACAAGTCAGACTGTGTCACTTTGTCATTCCACTCTCCAAGTTTCTCAGATGTTCTCACATAACTAGAAACAGAAAGTGTTAATGAATATAACTTGAAATATTCATTCCTAGAAGACAACGACACATTTCAGTTACAAAGTAGTAACAGAAATTGAACAGGGGATAGGAGGGAAGATGAGGAAAAGAATGAGCAGTGAAATGAACAGCTGAAGACCTGCCCTGCCGACGTGATGGCAGTAACTCCAAATTCCACTTCAGTTGCACGTGGCTTTTTAGACTGAATTATATCCCTCTGGGTACCCAAGGACCCTTTACATCAGGCAGCTGTGCTCAGATTTACCCCGACTCTCCTTTTGGCACTGTCAGACAGTGCAGCAATCACACACTTCGTTTAGAAATGGTCTTAATTTCAAACCCTGCTTAGGCACAGATGCCCCTGCATATCGCATTCATAGCAGACTAATGCTACAGACTTTTTTTTCCTAGGAAGTGCAGGCTTTTTAATTCAAGGTACACAGCCCAGGAAACAGTTTTTGAACTAACATACAGCTAACATTCCCAACTAGCACCATGCATTACTGAGTGAGCTCTGGCATTTTTTGCACTTCTCTTTGAGCTCGAGCTCAGAACGAGGCAGCAGCAGTCTGCCTCTCAGAGAAATGGGAAGACAAACTGAGCTGTTGAGTAGTGAGCAAACCTTTCACATCGTGCAAGAGAGCATCCAGCAACAAAGCATTCAGACCACAGATATGAAAATCCTTTAAGCTGACACGAGATCCATTCAGTTTACTGCTTTTTAAAACCATCTTTTACTCTATGTACCTATCACAGCAAAACCCTCCAGCCAGTTGGAAAAGCTCTGGAACAAGCTGCAGGGAAATAACTGCTACAGTCACTTCTCCATGTGAAACACATCACAAGCAACACTTACGCGTTGGAGACCTGCACGTCATGCCAGCTCTTAGACAGGTTTTGCTTCAACCCATCCAAGGGAGTCAAACCCAGCTTCCTCTTCAGCTCTCCACAGTGCCTCTCTTTAGCAGCCAGAACTTGTCTGAGAGTACCAATTTCTTCTTCAACCTTGGAAAGAGACAGAAGCACATCTCAATACCACGCTTTGCTAAGATTCTGGGAATTAAGCCAACTTTCTGCCTTGCTGAAAACTAGCACAATTCCATTAACATGAATGTAAAGAACTGGTAGGAACTTCAGGTGCACGCAGCAATTCAACTACACATCAGTGGTGTTGGAACAGTGGCTCAGATTTCAGCTAGAAAAACATAGAAGAAGCCATTGCACTGGTGTTTCAATGGCACTAAAAGAACTCATTCCCTGCACTGTAATTTCAACAGTAGATACCATCTAAAAAAAATAAGTTACCAAATACTCATTCAGCTGAGGTTTCAATCTTATGATTGTTTTCCTCTGATGTCATTAGAACAAAGAGCTTTTCCTCAGAGATCTTTCTTACCAGATTTTCAGAATACTCTGGAGTGGTTTCAGAGCAGAGAGAATTCATTCCTACTTCTTAATTAATTAAAGTTTACCAAGGCCTGCACGGCCATTCAGAACAGTGAAAACCTCCCTTGCTAAAACATGCAAAGCAGAGAACCAGCATGAGATTATCAAGTGTAAGAAAGAATAACCAAAACTACCTTCAGCTATATTACACATACAAATTATAAACTGAACTTTAAAACCCAGAGGGTGCCTAAAGTTTGAGGTCTTACATTACAAGCTCTCAGCTTTAGAAAAGCATAAAGGAATCCAAAACAGCCGCCCATAAAATGTGATAAATATTTAACAAAAAAGGCTGAAGAAGAAAGCACCTTAAGTACCCCATTGTTTCAGCTTCCTAAGGAAAAAGGAGTTGTTTGCATACCGCTCACCTAAAGTGCTGTTTTCCTGCTTAGACCAGAACTAAAAGCCTAAATTAAGCCACTTATTTCTTTAGGGCTCCACATTAAGCAGTTCTGTGCACGAGCAGGCGGTCTGAAATACCTGCCAGCTCTGTGCATTTAGCAAAGAACGCAGAGATCTGCAGGTAACACCACTGCAAGTTCTTTCTTTACTATGAGAGTGGTGAGGTGCTGGAACAGCTGCTCAGAGAAGCTGTGAATGCCCCATCCCTGAAGGCTTTCAAGGCCAGATTGGATGGGACCCTGGGCAGCCTGGTCTGGTATTAAACGTGGAGGTTGGTGGCCCTGCACGTGGCAGGGGGTGGAGATTCATGATCCTGACCATTTCTGTGATAAGAACCCAAAAATGCATCCACCAAACCCTCATTTTTCCTCCCAGCAGGGCAGGATCCCAGGCTCAGGTTTTACCTTGGCGATCTCAGCCCTCAGCTCCTCCTCCTCAGCAGCACTCAGCCCCTCGGGCGCTGCCGTCCTCGCCGCGGCCGCGCCGTCCACAGGAACGTCCATCATGGCATCCGACAGCAGACCTTTGTTGGGAGAGTTAAGGTTGATATCTGTCACAGACGAGAAGCACAGGGCACACACAGTGAGCAGCCAGCAAGCGAAGCACGATATGCAAACCTGGAGGGGAAGGGTGAAGCACAGGGCCCTGTGCTCGCAGACAAAAAAAAGGAACAGAAACCCTCAGCCGAATTCCCCGAGCCCGCACAGAACAGAAGCGCCGCGCTCCGCAGACCGAGCAGAGCGGCTATCGCACAGCGCCGGCCCGACGGAGGGGAAGAGCCGCCTCCGAGCGCCCGCCCGGCAGCCCGCACAGCCTGCCCGTGGCGGAGCTCCCCGAGGCCCGACCCGTTCCCCCAGCAGCTCCTCGATCACCGCCGCCCCCCTCGCGCGTCCCCGCCCCGAAGCGCGGCCGCCCCTACCCTGACCCGCGCTCTCCATGGCGGCGCCCCGGCCCCGTTCAGCCGCCGCCAGCATTGCCCTGTGACGCAATCACCCCGCGCCGCCCGCTTCCGGGAGATGCGGTGAGAGATGACGTCACCCGCTGCGTCGCTACGGCAACGGCGCCACGTTCCTCCCTCCCCGCCTTTCCTCGGCCTCCGCCTTCCGCCAGCGGAAACGGCGGCGGGTGACGTCAACGAGAAGGGGATGAAGTGGCGTCACAGGGGCGGAGGGCTCGGAGCGGCGGTGCTGTGCGGGCGGCTGGAGGGAAGGGGGCAGCAGCGGCACGGCCTTGGCATGGCGTGGCTTTGGCCTGGTGCAGCACTCAGGGCCTCGCTCCGCTCCGCTCCGCTCGGTACAACCTCCCTTGGCGCAGCTCCACGCCGTTCCCTCAGGCCCTGCCGTTGACACAGAAAGCAGAGCTCAGCGCTGCCCCTCCGCTCCCCTGGAGGAGCTGCAGTGCCTCTCGGCCCCCTGTGAGCCAAATGAACCCAGGGACCACAGCTCTGGATGCCTCCCGTTCCCAACGCGGGGATTTCTTGCAGGGAGGCGCCCACCTGCTGTGAGCAGCACTGAAACTGGGAAGCGATAGCAGGGACAACACGCGGCCAGCGCTCCTTGCAGCCCGCAGCTCTTCGCCTTCTGCTTTCGCTGTCTGTGGGGCTGCTGGTAGGCTTGGAACCAAAACCCCCCAGCTGTGTCAATGGGGGTTCTGGCCTGCTTTGGGGAAGCCCTCAGCCATGTGCTGGAGAAGCCCTGGGTAGCTCCACTGATAGAAATCCTGCAGCTTACCCCAATAAAAACCCCACTTAGCTCTAATTGTGTCACCAGCTACTTTCATCTCCAGAGCTGTTTCTACCTGGTCTATTTTCATTGCCCAAGATGAGCGTGAAAAGGGAAGCGAATATAAATGGGGAAACGTGCATTAATTTTTCAGAGCTGTTTCCAACAGCACATGCTGCATCCGAGCAAAGGGTTTGCAATTAGCATTGGTGAGAGCTGCTGGAAACACCCAGTGAGGGCTCAGCAGGTCATCCTAGACCCACATCACAAGGCACCCGGCCACCCTGTCTGCTTCCTTTTGCTGCAAAGAACAGGGAAGCACCACGAGAGCTCACTCCTTTATTGCTGTTTTTATGTAGGGGGTTATACAGAGTCTGGCACTACTCTGGTTTCAAAGCTGGGCTCTGTGGAAATCCAAGTGTTGAACCCACATGGAAATCCGGAGCAGAGGCAGCAGGAGGCGCAGGGCCTGGCTCACAGGGAGAGCTGCAACAGCTCTGCCAGGAACAAAAACCCAATTCAGCTCCAGTCCTACTGCTGCCAGCATCAGGGTGTGCCTCCACGGGAAGCATCGCATTGCCCTCCCAGCGCCCGCTGCTCCCACTGCTAATTTTGCTGTACCTTCAAGCGCTGGATTTTAATTAAACATGTTCCAGTGCCAATTCGAGTCTCCATCCCAAGCCCTGCATGTGTATTAGAGTGGGGAAACAGAGAGCAACCCTGCATTTGGAGTGGGGAAAAAACCTCCTTGTTCCAGGATCACTGCTGCTGTTCAAAGCAACTGTGGGGGCCAGGATGTGGGGCAGGGCAGGAATTTGGGGCAGCGGGCAGCATGCTGGATTCCCTGTAACAGGGGCTGAGGCTGACTCTGGCTGCTGTCATCTCCAAGCTGCCAGCAGAGCTTTCCTGAGGTTTCAGGCACAGCTTATGCCCTCCCTGCTGCCCCCAGTTCTCCTTTTGCTGCTGGGACTTTCACTCTCTTGGGGGTTTTCTTTTGAAATGTCAGCCTGGAGTCAGTTCCCATCACTGATGCCCCCTCTGAGCTGCTTTGGCTCCCACACAGAGGCAGTGGGGAGGGATGTGGATGGCTGTGATGGCTGCAGGGATGTCGTGTTTGGGGGGCAAGCAGCATCAGCCCTGTGCCTGGGCAGCTCTCTGTGTCACAGCAAGGACACGTCCCCTGCAGCACGTTGCCCACAGCTCCCGACTCACAAAACACGGCTGTTTCCCAGCAAAGCCAGAAGCTGTGGCCAGCCCTGCAAAGGGAACTGCATCCCAAGGCTCTCGCCATTCCTGTTTGCCCCAATCCTGGACACCCCAGGAGGGCACGGACATTTCCCGGCTGTTCCGTGCTCAGGCAGGCGCTGCAGCTCTGCTGCTTCACTTGGAAGCTGACACAAGCTGGGCTCTGTGCCCCTTTTAGAGAAAGCCCTGACCTAGATTTCACTGCCCACTGCAAAGCTGTAGCTGTCGCTCCTCCCTGCAGCTGGAAAGGGCCCAGTGGAGCAGTCCTGGCTCGCGCTTGTTAAGCTGGTGGCTATTAGCCCTGCAGGGAACGAGCCTGCACAGGCTGATGGGCCCCCGTCACATTTTGCTCCTGTTTCCCAGGCACGAGGCACTGCTGGAGCTCACTGCTCTGCAGGAGGCCACCCTGATGTTGCAGTGAAGTTCTTGGCCCCCCCTGCTCTCCCCATAGCCACGTCCCCATCCATCCATCCTTCCATCCATCCGTTAATCCAACGACTGGTACTCCCACCCACCCATCCATCTGTCCCTGTGTCCGTCTGCCCATCCATCCATGTGTTCTCCCACTCTTCCATCCACCCACACACCAGGAGCAGAGCAGGTGCTACCATGCTGTCCCCATGTCCCCACTGCAGCTCCCCGGCAATCTGTCCCACTTGGCCTCCTTTTTGGCCACAGTCCTTCCTTGGTTGGCTCTAAGCTGCTTGCTATCCCCCATACCAGGCTGGCATTTACATGGGTGCATTAACCATGCATCTAAAAAAGCCCCGGAGTGCTTCAGGTGGGAGAGATCCGTGTCCTTCAGCCCATCTTTGGCAGCACTGGGGCCATGGGCGGGCAGTGATGGTGACATTCCTCTTTCCCAAACCAACTCCTGTCCCTTGCATGCTGCGGGGCTTCGCCCTGCCATCACCGTGTGCTGCCTTCCTCTTTTCTCAGCACCCAAAATAACCCCGGGGCCACAGCAGGGGGCCGCCAGAGGTGACACTTCCTCTTTCTGAAACATCACTGGGGAAGGGATGGAGTGGGAGGGGATGCAGGCACGGCTGGATCCCGATTTTCCCTGCTGTGTTGGGAACCCCCAGCTGGCAGCCAGGCTGTCCCATCAGATCCCCCTTGCTTCTGAACATTGAGCTTCTCCCTGATCCCATAGAAGGAGTGCAGGACAGGGCTAGAAACAGGTTTTAGCTTCTCTCTTCTGGGGCTAGTTTCACACCTCCTCCGGGAAACAGAGCCTTAATTTCTGTCCCCTTATCATGGCTCATGTGGCTGCCCTCAGCCCCAAAACAGCCCTGGGGCTGCATGGGGATTGCCTGAGCACTATGTCTCCACTATGGGTTTTCTCCCTTTTCCCCACCACGTCACACTTTCAACTACTTCACACCACTCCTCTCCACCCCCAGCACTGGGAATTCCCCTGACAGCATTTGGGGCAACACTGCAGTGGGGATTGCCCCTCTCCAGCTCTACAGAGTCAGCCCTGGAGTCCCCACTCCTACGGTCCCTTGTTCCACAGTCCTTGTACACCCACAGGGCTCTGCTCGCCATTGGCACCATGCACTGCCATGGGGCAGTGGGCACCTGAAGGATGGAATGTACTCCCATGGTTGCACCGCATGCCCAGGACCTCACAGTGCAGGGCATCATGGCCAGCCCTGCAGCATCCCATTGGGACATAGGCTGGAAATCCACTCCTCCCCTCTTCTGCCTGATTTCCCCTGCTCTGCTTTGCCCAGGGCTGTGTCCCATCCCTCTCACCTCACCCTGGGACCCATCCGGTACCATCTGCTGCCTGCAAACCCTCTGCTCCCTAAGCTGCTCTAATCCCTCAGATCCTATCTGTGTCGTGGTGTGAGCTGGCAGCCCTGGGCATCTCCCCCAGGGTTGTGGGGATGAGAACCCAGGGGTTTGGTGACGTTACCCCTCCAGTGGTGAGGGAGCGGTGATGGAAAACGCAGAATGCAGGATTGATGCAAAATGCAGAATGGATGCATTTAGGTTCTATGTGGTTTTCCAAGAGAAGAAAGAGGGATAAAATGTGCCCAGAGCCTCTCCAGCTGCTCCCCACTCCCTGCCCAGTCACAGGGTGAGCTGTGTGCCCTCAGCAGAAGGACACAACCCCCAGAATGTGGCTTGGCAGGAGAAGAAAGGGGGCAGGGGAGTGGTGTGGGACCAGGGGGGGCCTTCCTGGAGGGTGTGGGGTGGGAGGAAGTGCTGCAGACAGCTGCACAACATCTGGCAGCACTCAGCCCCCCGGGATCCCAAGGTTGCTGAGCGGGCTTCCTGCCCCCCCACTGCCAGATGTGCCCCCCGCATCCCACCCTTCCCTCCAGGCCGTGCCCCACACCTGTGTCTCACTCTGCCCCGCTGCTCCCATGTCCTCCTGGCCCCACAGCGCCCATGGGAAAGGCGGCCCCATCACCTCCACCACCTCCATCCTTCCATCCTGGAAAACCCACCCACAGGAGCCACGGCCCCAATTCAGAACTGGTTATGGCTGTGGGGTTTGGCCATGGCCCCGTGCCAGGGATATGGGGTTTGGTCGTGGTGTGGGGAGCGCAGAGTGCCAGCCCTGCCCACCAGCAGCCCCCAGCCCCACAGCGTATGGCTGGATGGTCCCTGACCCCGATCCCATGGGGCCTGACCCTGCAGAGCGCCGGGTGAGGTTGGAAGGAAGGGATGAGCCCCAGGCAGCAAAAATAGCCTCTGTCCTTCAGGATCGCTTCATGGGATTAAAAATAGCGGTGTTCCCAACAGCAACGCTCAAGGGGACGCGGGCAGAGGGGACAATTGGCTTTAGAGTCCTTGGTGCCACCATGAGAGGGTGGTGCAGGATAAAATCCAAAGGAAAAGGGTCTGTGTCCCCATCTGGGAGCTGGGAAAAACCTTAGGAGTGGGGCTGGGGCGCAAACAAAGCCCTGACCGCATTTTGCTGGGATGCGTAGGGGATGTGGTGCTCCCCCCGCACCCCTTTGCCCCGTGGGGCCGCGCTCCTGGCTCCCTGGGACCGGTGGCTGGGATCG